ATAAATTATATTTACGTCTATAAAATATATGATAAATAAGATATTTCTTACACAGATACACAATCATTATTCTCTAAATAATATTTTGTCAATGAATCAAAAAGTGTTTATAGAAATTTTTCTATGAAAGAATATTGGAATTTCATCTTATTTCTTGATAGATTAATTAAAAGGCATTCACTATAGGCATGAATCACTAAATATATATTACGAAATTACTCATATTATTAAACATTCTACACAATTGCAATATCCCATTCAAAATTTCTTTTTTTTTTTAATGTTTTGATCCGTGAAATAAGATTTTCCACATGAAAGATGACAAATAATATATTAATTTCCATATACTTCCCCTAATACCGTGAATTATTAAGACATAAACCATTATTTTTCAAAATATTCCTCCACTTAGAATGTGGATTTCTCAGCAAAAAAAAGAAAAAAACGCCCAACGTCACGAAATAAGAGGGATTTTCCTGTATATAATTACTCAAAACTCTCTTATTTTCTAATTAATCTATGCGATTATTTAGGTTATCAGAATGCCAAGAAAGCGCTGAATGATTATGAAATAATCTACATTCAAAATAAACAAATTGATTCCAGTCTAGACATATTTTATACTAAAAGAAGGGTGAGGAAAATTTATATTGAAAGACAAATCCTTTAAAAGAAACTCCTTGCCGAGTAATAAAACAAGACATAAAAGTTTAAAATATTTAAAAAGATTACCCCCCCCACAGAAGGTTCAATATATCTATTGTTTGTATGTGTATGTTGCATTGTAAACTGCAACTTAAAAGAATATAAAATATTTTTTATTGAGGTTCACCTTACATTTAATAGAGGACGGAAATAATGTAACCTAGAATCATCAAATGAGTACCAGTTACACAATTGATATATATTTTTGCTAGTTTTCGGGATAATAATAGTTTTGTATGTATATATATATATATATTGCGTATCAAATCTGAATTGATCTTGTCCCACTTGACGAAAACTTCCTGAATTAAAGTATGTTGACCGTTCATTGAATTTTTAGCTATGAAAATCTTAAAACTGGTTTTCAAAAAAGATGGACTAAATCTTCCGCTTCTAAAATCGGTTCAATGATCACATTTAGATGGTTAAAATTCGAAAATAACCGAAAAAAATCGTGGAGTTTGCAATGAGTCGGGGGTACCACGTATTCCTCCATTGCATGGCGTTCAGCGATTTAAACTTTGATGCTGTCAAATGATTGTTTTCGAGCTTAAAAGTTGTCATTAATTTCTATTTTTTGACGTGGATAACGTTTAAAAATAACTTGGATCGATGTGCTTCGTTTGTCTTCGGAGCTTATGATCTTGATATTTTTTTTGGGGAGGGATTCGGTCGCGAGTTCAAAATTCGCAATGTCCAACCGATACGGAAGGAAATGAATTCTTAAAACACGATTTTAATAAAACTTTAGGTCACTATCTGTACGAAGTCGTGACTAAATATATGGTCGAAGATCGTCCTACATTTAAATCATCTCACGAATTTCATCTTTGATAGACTTGGACCATATTCTTTAATCAAGATGGACCCTCGTCCGAGCTATCAACTTGTCTCGTTTTTCTTTTCTTTTATTGTTATTAACTGGATTTTTCTAAAAAAAAACTTTTATTCATACTAATTGTAAAATAAGGATAATAAGTCCTTTGCAAAACGGGTTCCATAACATTTACATAATATGGAACATGAGAAAAGTTCGAAATTAAGGAATTACGAATTGAAGGTTAAGTTCGAGATAATTTTCTTCTTTTTATTTCATTTAATTTATATATTTTTTTCTTTTCTTAGCAAATCAGAATATTAAATGTGTGTGATTTAATTTAATTGTAATTAACTTTGTAAGAAATGAATTAGAGGAGGGAGGGAGAGTGAGTGGTGGGGAAGGAAAAAAAAAATTGACTTTCATTCGCCAAAAAATGGCTTCTTTTATTTAAAAAAATCTTAATTTTTATAACATTTTTTAATTAACTTTCTAGGAAATTACGGATATTAGTCTTTGACCCGTGATTTTCTACGAATCAGATCACTTTTCCTTCCTCCGTTTTAATCACGTGACGCCGCAGGCTAGCGCGTATGGCGCCATATTGGCGACTGTCTCTTTTCCAAAGCGATTGGATAATTTATTGTAAGGTTTAAAGAACAGGAAATTGGACAAATTTGTATCTAGATTACCTTTAAGTTTATTTTATAAATAGTCTCGTTCCTTCTACTACTACTACTACTTTTTTTTTTTTTTCTTTCTTTCTTTTACTTCCCTCCCCCCCTTGCATTCACTTTCAGCCCGAGCACATAGGCGATTGTTTTAATTAACAAAACGGTAATGTTGCGAAAGGACAAATGAGCCATTCCACACCCTGTCGTCCTTCGAACGCGAATTAAATGACAATTTTAAATTCGAAAACTTGATATTTAATTTATTTAACTGATGGAAAATTTAGCTAACACATAAAAGGAAAATAAAAATTAAAAAAAAAAAAAAAAGGAGCATAAACTTTTTGCAAAGAGAACGCTTGCGAGTTTGGATTCTCATCACTAGACTAGAAACTATTTTTCATCCCCCTTTGCATGTTTTTTTTTCCTTCCATTTTTCTTTTTAAAGTGCTTCCCATCCACAGACAAAATATAGTTTTCTCATGCCAAACTAAATTTAGAATATTCTACAAAATCCCATAAATGCCTTATCCTACAAAGGGGGTGAAACTAATAAAAAATAAAGAAAACAAATCTTTACAATCCTAAACAAACGTAACAATCAATATACGTGTTGTAAAATAATATTAAAAAAAAAAATGGAGATTTTCACGAATATTTTCACAATTTTCACCATAAATTTGTTTATATTCTTATTAATAAAGTTTGTATACGTTATAGTGTTTAAATATTTGATGAAATAATACGAGAAAAACGGAGAGATGTATAATGGGAGAGGGGAAAGAGAAAACAAAAAAGGTCGCACTTGTACTAAAATGGAGGAGAATTGTGGTGTACACGCGATTTTTCTAAACAAAAACTTAACTAGTGTCGTATTTACAAACACAGATCTTGTTCATTCAATAAAAACACGAGAAAATATTCCTCGTGTCTCATTACTGCGCATCCCGTTATCGATTATTCTCCCCTTCTGCATTTCAAACACACACACACACCACACACAGAAATGCACGCGGAACATACACACACAAAACAGAAGTAACACTTCTATTATATATATTGTATAATGCAAAACACTTAAAGTAGTAGATTAATATAAAATACTATTTTAAAAAAATCACACCTAAAATTTATAGTATTTATTAAAAATGAATCCCGAAATAAAGGGCATTAGAAGTGTTACTGCATGTGTTTGGTGTGTACGTGTGTGTACTATGGGGAGACGGGTCTTTAGTGCATCCTATCACAGAATGCAACATTTTTTGGCGACTTGCCAAGCTCGTGCTGACCTCCCTACCTGTCTCGACTGGAGGATCATCTAGTATTGGGGCAGGCTATTGGTTAGCGGGTAGAACCCACTAATATCGCGTCATTTTATTGGTCGGGTGGATGATGTACGTGTATACACCGACACACGCCGTAAGCCGTGACGTCATAACCGGCTCCATTGTGTTTAGCCGAGATGTAGGCAGTCTGCTTTCGCGCCACGTTGATATCAGTGACGAATGCTGGCGGGCAAGCATTAGTACGACCCTTGTTTACAAACAAGAGCACCTGTCATTATTACAATTTCAATATGAAAAAGGTAAGTTCTTTCGTCTTTTCCTTCTATCCGTTTCCTACCTCTTATAACACAACCGAATTTTAAGTCTCGTGGGCGTCTGTACCGGCGTTAAATCGAAACACGGTAACACAATTAATATACTCGATCGAAAAACATATAGAAAAAATACACACACATATATATACACATCTTATCGTGATGGTGAAGGGTATTGAATTGTCTTAAACATGTATGTATAGATTTTTTTTTTTATTCTTAAATTTGGACAATAGGCGGGAGGAGACCGCACCCTGTTAGAGGCGGGAATTTTACCGTTCGTTAAGTGACTGTAGAATTTTTGGGGGACAGAAACATGTTTAATGTCTACCTCCACCCCGTTTGTATAAAATAGGTTAAGCATCTTATCCACATCTTAACTAATTAGATTATTTAAAATGCTCCTTAACTCTTTTCTCCATTATCTCGTCGTCTTTCCCCCCATCTATTATTTTCATCACACAACGCCAGTCTTCCCCCCTCCCTAGTTTCGTTATGGGTATACACGTTCCTCATTCAGTAATTGTTTAATTTATTTATTTATTATTATTTTTTTTTCTTTTTCTTTCTTTCTGTGGATACATACTAAAACACAACAAAGCCTGGAGCTATATATGAAATGGTTTCAGAAGATATTTTTCGATTTTTTTCTTTTACTTTTTACCGAACAGGTTGACGTACCAAATCAGGTTCCATGACCACATTCCACACGACCCAAAATAAACAAACATATGGCAACACGAGGTGTAGTATTTACTAAATGGACAGACCGACATAACTACGGGAGGAACGAAGTGTAGACAGGGGATGGCGCCTCTCACGCCTACTGTTTTTTCTCCCTCTCGATACCATTTCCTCCCCCTTTTACGCGTACGTAATCAAATTTACGTCACCGAGCACATTTGCATAATCTAAAAAAAAAAAAAAAAGAGCAGCGTAAAGGGTGAACGTTTCCGCCATGTTTACTGTTGTTGTTATTATTATTATTATTGTTGTTGTTGTTATTATCTTTAAACTTTGTTTACTTTCATCCAGTCGTAAAACCGGGTTTTAATTGAGTGTTAAAATGTAAACTTTCATCTTTACTCCTGTCATTTATTTAAACAAGACATTTAACAGGGACATTGACTCCCTGTTTAATATTGGGGTCGCCCAATAGCGAGGACCGGATTCAGTGGCCTGGATTTAACAAAACATTCCTAAATCATAACAGTGTATAAAATTTAAAAATAAATAAATATATATATATATATATATATAAATACAAGGTGANAATTATGAAGCAAAAACAAAAAGAATTCTGGTTTGTCCGGTAAAGTTGATTTCTCGTTCACCTCTCGACTTGTTCTTGTGTTGGAACAAAGTTTTGGCATCGGATGGGTGGTCCCACGAGACGCCTACACCATTGTTAACAACTGTATGCCCCTTTACGATGACGTCACGCGTGAGGGAAGAAGAAAAAAAAATTCTAATAATTACTAATAAAATTGTATGGGTTGTTGAGAAAAATAAATGGAAACTTTTCTAGTATGAAGCTGTTTGTTATATGAATCACACGACGCGCTAAATGGTGATTGACGCAACACTTAATTGTTATTGTCTGTCGTCATTTAATTTCGATAAACATATTTATAGAAAAATACAGTATATGAATAGGTATTGTTTAAAAATAAAAAATAACACCTTGCAGCTTATTGTTAACCGGGGTATTAAAATTCAAATATCCAATGATTTTCTTGTGAGGGGGGGAGAAAGGGTGTGAGAAATTAGGTCGATCGGAAAAGTGGTTTCCGAATCGAGTCACATGACTTAATAATAACTTCTGCCCCCCTTCAATATAATAATAATAACGAACCAATAAAACAGTAGCCAAACGGGAGAAGTGCGTACGCGAACAATACAGTTAATTGTGCGTGCCATTTGTAAATTTTAGTAAACGTAAAATCGAAAGATTAAAGGGGGTGTTAGACAGAAGGCAAAGTTAAGTAATTCGATTGGAGGACGAGTGTTTTAACCGACTCGATCGTATCCCGTAGCGTATTTCATTGAGTAAACGTAAGCGGAGTACGTAAAATGTAAGCAATTCTCGTGTTTGTAAACACTACGGGAGCTTTGTTATACTATAAATGCTACTTCATAGCAATCATTTGATGTAGTGCGGTAAAACAGTCGCACTGTTACCTATTTTAACGGTCACGTTATTCGTGCAAAGGTAGTCGAGTGTGTCGTATGTTTCATCATTTAACAACTGCAGAAAAATCCGAGTTCTACGTATGCTCATTCCGTTTTCAAGGGCACTAATTACACATGTATTATAATCGTCTATTGTACAATTTTTGAAAGCCGGTAAGCTAAGTAAATAAATAAATAATATAACAACGATAACTCGGGACTTTTTAAGCTAGAGACTAACAAGGTCAAGGAGAAATTTTATAGAATACTTAACCGAAAAAAAAGGGGGGAGATCCCACACACGTCTTGACAGGTCGTAAAACTAAAATGGACTTTTCGAGATTTTACTCCATTAGCCAAAAAGTAATGCCAAAAAGTGGATGAAAAGTGTGTAAAAGACGGCTCAATTCTTTTTTTAGGAACCTTTTACATACCTCGAACGGCTTACAGACTCGCTACTAAATGATCTAAACTTAGCGAGGTTAGGCTATAATTAACAGAACGAGTCGGGGCGCATGCTCCTTTATGGAAGAACACCTCGCCACTGCGAAATAAAATCGATATTGATGACGGAAGTGAACCTTTACCGGCGAACTCTGACCCCCGACCGATTGATAAAATTCGCCACGCATGCGTCATCCTACTTTTCGTCCCCCTTCTCCCCTCTCCCTTCTTTCTTACACTTAGTTCAACCGGGCTCTCACTTCGTCGAATCGACATTAGATGGAGTTCAGAATGGCGCGAGTCGAGTGGGTATCATTGAAATTTATCACTTTCCATCTTTAGAATATCGATTTCGGTTCATTTGTATCCTTCTCCTCCTCCCCCGAATTGTTGTAACGTATTCGTAACGATTTCTTAATAATAATAAATAAATAAATAAATAATAAATAAAGTCATTTACCTCGTGAGAATTCTTCACGACAAAATTCGAGTCCATTTTCTTTACTTCAAACCGTTTAAGTAATGGGAATGTTTCGCCATTTTCTTAATTTCTAGCTTCAATAAAATAATAATAATAAAACATTAAATACTGAGAAATCTAAACAGAATCAATCGAGATCTTTTAATTTTTCGCCTAAATTATGTAAATAATACACAGGGGGGTACGAAAATAGAAGTACAGCTGTGAATCTGAGAAGTACAGATGTTCCGTATTCCTTATTTATGATTTGATTTATTCATAAAAATAAATGATAATAAATGTATACTCGGCTTTGTGTATAAAGAATATAATGAAAATAAGTTATAATTCGGCATGGCCTGTGATTTTAAACCGATTTTGTAAAAAAAAAAATTTGCACTCTATTGTTGTTATTAACACCAGTTTAAAAGAAGCAGGGGAGAGAGTAGAACGAAAATAACAAGATTATATAATTTATTTATATATACAGTCGATCCCCCCTATAACACTGTTGATAATTCCGTTTTATATGAATTCCATGTTGTACGAGTCACTTAGATTTTACAAATACGTGAGCCTCTCGCAGCCTGGCACACGTATTTGTAAAATCTAAGTGACTCGTACAACATGGAATTCATATAAAACAGAATTATCAACAGTGTTATAGGGGGGATCGACTGTATATATAGGCCTATATATATATACTTTTTTTCCTTCTGTTTGTAAAATTCCAATTAGAATATTAACGCAATGTAAACGTCTCGATATTTCACACGTGACGACTTTAGTTTACATTTCGGCTATGTCTAAATATTCCGTTGCGAAATTCGTCACGTGTGGATCAGGAGTGCAGTTGATGACGTCTTTTTCTTTGTATATTTTAAAAAAAAAAAGTAATAACATTCGATGTAATGATGCCCTTTAAGTGACTCATTAATAATAATTACACCAACGAGCGCAATTGTTAGCGAATTTATTATAAAAATCGGTCTTCAAAACATCATTATATATATATATATATATAATTATTAAAGATTTTTTATTATTTCATTTATTATATGAATTATTTGTGTGTATAAATATAATACATAAATAAAATATAGAATGGATATAGTATACCTATATTATATATATGTGTGTATGTTTTATGTATCACTTTATGTACTTATTAACATAATACTAAATATCATCTATGTATATAAAACAGTAAATTTATTTACTATACTGGAAGTATATAAATATTTATTCCGATTATAGTAGTGTTACAAGATGTAGAAAATCGATTTATAAAACTCGAATTTGTCTTACATAATTTAAAGTTTCACACTTTAATACCCAGAGGTGAAACATCCCAGAGCATGTTTTAAACATAACGATTACACATATATCAACGATACCTTCTACCACTAAGCATATAAAATGTACAGTTAAAGGTGTACAGTACATTAATAAAGCCGGTGTGTAATCAAGATCGTAACTGTATCGAATATGTTTGGAAAGAGAACGAGTTATTAATTACTTTTAAATTAATTGCCTGCTGTAATTTCATTTTTATTATTATTAATTCTTTTTCTTTTTTTCTTTTTTCTTCCTCCTATTACTCGAATGCTTTTCTAAATTGTAATTATTACTTAAAGAGATTAAAAAATGATGAAATATTTTAATGCCATTAAGTAATATAACAGACTTGTCCTGATTATTTTCTTTGAAATGAGATTCTGCAATCACGCGTTAAGGATGGAGAAAAAAAAAATATATATCTATAATAAAGAAATAATAAATAAATCTGTGTTTACATATTAAGATTTTTTGATTGGTTTATAGATTTTGTAATAGTTTGACTAACTTGGGTCATAGGTGACGATTAGACAAACAAGGTCAAAAATATGTAGTCTCAACAGAAAGATGGCCAATGCTGATATGGCGTCTGGTTTATTTTTCATTTCTGTTGTTAGTTTTTTTTTTTATAAAATTATAATTAAATTACGTTTCTTCCCCTAAGGAAACACTAAGAGTTTGGACGAGAGTAGAAAACCCTAGCTAATTTTCCAGGGTTCACGAGACACTTCGAATCCTGGGTGGTCCCACGAGACGCCTACACCATTGTTAACAACTGTATGCCCCTTTACGATGACGTCACGCGTGAGGGAAGAAGACGGAGGGAAATTAATCCTCCCCCCTCTCTCTCTCTCTCTCTCGACTAATCCGTGAATAAAATCCTGGCATAATTAAATATATTGAATGACTACAAGGAGCGTTAATGGCACAATTGCATTTTTAATTATCGGGTTTTGTATGTAAATTTTTAAAACTTGTGGCTAAAGGGTATTACATAAGAAATATTTCGACATATTTTTTTTTATATTAGGAAATGTCTTAATATGTTTTAATTTATCGAGGGAATTATTTAGTAACCCCCCTCACCCTCCTTTCCGATATACGAGCCGATTTTTCTTCTTCCGTCGTCGCTTATTAAGCGTTTGCATCACACCACCTCTTCAAAAATCTGGAGTATTTTCGCGATTCAAATATGGCCGTTTTCACGCGAACTTTACACAAAATATTTGGCTAAGAATTACAGAATTTCGCGCCAGAATTGTACAATAAACGAACGATGGTAAGGCAGAGCGAGCGATTCGATAGTTCGACCACTCCCGCTTCTGGCTCGTTGCCAAACAATTGGGTGAGTATTTTGGAAACTAGATTGGCGCTCACTTCCTTACAAAAGTTTCGATTTGATAATCATTGAGACGTTTCTCTGTGACGTCACTTTCAAACCCAATACCATTGGCTAACAGGAGATATCCCTGTTATAAATAACAAATAAGGCATTAAAATAGAACAAACGGGAGGAAGGAGTTGGGTGCTTTATATACATGAAGCTCATTAATGTAATAAAAGCCATGGATGTTAAACAAGTGAAAATATTTCGATTTATGAGGGTAAGTTTTTAGTTAACATTCGAATTTTCTGGGATTTTTTTAAAATATATACTGTATTTATTTTTTAAAGCTTCCCCTGAATTCTATTTAATTAGTTATCTTAACTGTTTCGAGAATTTTCATAGTATATGTTTTTTTTTGTTTTCCTTCCTTCCTTTTTTTTACTTAACGGTTATTTCGGTTTAAATATATTCCGGTGCCCGTACAGTTTGAGAACTCAGACGGATCTCAAGGACGCATTTTTGAAGCTCGTCAGCACTTTTATACGAGTTTATAGGAGTTTTCGAGAATATTTGGCGAAAATTCTATTTATTTTCCTTCGTCACTTTAAAGAATTTTCAACCTCTTCCCCATCAAAAACGGTGCCATTCTTCGCAAGAAAAATTCGGTATCCGGCGTCGAGCGATGATGGATTTTTACATGGAAAAACAGAGTAATAGAGTTCGGTTACATCACACGGGAATTTGTATACATGCGAGTTCAAAAACACTCTATCTATCTAGCGTGTGGTGGTGTGACATCACAACGTCGTCATGAAATCAAAATCTAAAGTACTCCCCGGGTGCCGAGGGACAAGATTTTCCAGATAATGTTAGCGCTTATGGCGGGAAATTGGGTTGAATGAAGTCAATACCTTGACCTACTCTGACGTCATTCCATTCGTTTCATGTCTATGCTCACAGGCTTTTATCCATAATCTGGTTTATCGTATTTTAGGATACGGCATACGTGACTTTTAAGGAATTTTTTAAATAATCATTCGAGTTTCGGCAATTTAACCAGCGTCTTTAATGAAGCAATTCTAGAAATTCTTTTCTTATGTAATATCATATCTATCGTTCTCCATTCATAAATTTCATTAATGGAAGACAGACAGACACGGGCTCAAGGTCTCGCTCAGTTTAAGGAATGACCGTCCTTGTCCGCACTTATTATGTAAAATGATGGTAAACCCGTCTCCTGTCTAATATAATTTAGGACAAGGTGAGCGCATTAGGCTCGATTAGAATAAGTAATCTTTCTCTGGTTTTCGTGTCGAATGTTATGTGTTATTTATTTATTTATTTATTTCTATTGAAATTATCCTCCTGCTCCTCCCTCGTTCTATTTATTTGTCATTTTGGAAAGACAACAAAAAATCTTGTCATCGATTGTTTTTCCTTCAAGGTTGGCTCGGATATGGTAAGCAAGATCTCTAACAAAAGATTCCTAACTTCTAATTGGATATGTAAACGTTACAGACCATGTTCTTCAATTTACCTGGCGCCAAACAGTGTACAGAACTGCTGACGAGCCGTTGAGCTATTTTGGAAACAGCCATGTTTGTAAATCTTTAAACGTTAAAATAAAATGTTTTGCTGTTCAGATATTATGACATAGAACAGGGGGGAAGAAAGAGAGAGAGGGGGGGTGGAGAAAAAGGCGGGGAGAATACTAAAGAATACAGAATCTTTATTCTCAGAAACGACTTATTTATTCGATCCCTGGGCCCTTTTTTTTTCTAAGAACCGACAGCCACTCCTTGAGACAGTAGGAAAAAACACGATAAGAGAGAGAGAAAGAGAGAGGATTTGGGGTAGGTTTTCTTTTCCTCTGTCAACGTGTACACGATATCGGAATGGAACAAGGCGCCAAAACACATTAAATTTCCTTTTCGGTAAAGCTTATCCATATTATCTGGTTGCTATATTTTACATTGACATACAAATTACGCATAGATTATGCAATTGAAATTCTTGCAAATTTTACAATTACGAATTGCGGTCTGCTCTGGTTTTGTCAAAATTTGGAACGAGGATTTGACTGGCTGAGCTAATAAAAATTGATTATCGAGACAAGGTTACAACTTTTCTCGAATTGACCTAGAAAATCTTGCTCGCATGGAGTCACTCTACAGAATATGGGAGGAGCTATGTGACTTTGTTTTTGTTTTTTAGTGAACAGGAACAAGAATAACTCTTTGCTGAGATATTTATAGAATTCTATACGGTCTTGTTAATTTTTTTTCCAGCGAAATAAAAAAAAAACTCTTGAATTAGAAAAAAAAAATTAAAGGAAATCTAAGGGTTTTTATATCATAGATAAGGTAAAACCGGAACGGATCGTAATCGTGGATTATACAGAAAATAGCTAATTATGAAGCAAAAACAAAAAGAATTCTGGTTTGTCCGGTAAAGTTGATTTCTCGTTCACCTCTCGACTTGTTCTTGTGTTGGAACAAAGTTTTGGCATCGGATCTGACCTAATTGCATTGCCAACTGAGAGATCCCGTGATCGAAATGGATTTCTTCCAAAAACATATGTACAGGAACACGAGCGCCCTCTGATGCCGATACACCAAGTCGTTTTCGTCTGTGACGTCACAGTCGCGATTGTAAAAATGCTGGCGGGAATTTTTCATTCAACATGTGATTTTTACGATCAATGAAACGAAATGCGTCCAGATAAGCGGAGTTTACACTTGTTGCCAAATGGTGAAAGATGGAAAGAGATTTTTTTCCCTTCCTTTGTGGTGAGTATTTAAATTATTCTGTATTTTATTTATTTATTTATTTTTTAGTTTCTACTAATAGAAAAAAATTTAAAAATTAAGTTTTGTATATAATTACATAACATTTAAAGTTTATAATGTATTTTCCTGTTAAAATGTTGTTAGAAGCAAATTTTTACAGTATAAAACGTTTAAATATTACTTACCAATAGAGATTTTCATTATCTTCATTGTAATTCATTTATTCACACATTCCTGCATTGACATAATACAAAATTAAATTTTTTTTTTTCTTCCTCCCTTGAAAAGACCTAAAAATAAATAAAAATAAATTAATAGAGCAATGCAGAAATTTAATATAAGAGGATATTGAAATAGATATTTCAATTGCAATATGAAAAAGATTTATTATTTTAAAGTAATGTGACATAAGCTATTAATGCATACTGAAAAATAAATTTAATTTTTAAAATATTATTATTTATTGTATAATATTTTAAGGCAGAAGAAATTAAAATTTCTAATTTATTAACCTTTTTTTTGTTTATTTTTCCCTCTTCCTTTTATTGCAGATAGCAAAAAAGATGTCTGGTAGCATTGGAATTTTGATAGCTGAAACAAGAAAAGAATGTGACATTGAACTAAAACTGGATAAAAAAAAAGAAAAAAAAATCAAAAGACATAACATAAATTATTAAACAAATTTAAATATATTCGATTAGCGAATATTATATTACAAATAACTTAAAACGTCTCAATATTTTATGCGATTTCAATGCCGTAATCGGCTTTAACTCATTGGATTATATACCGCAAATATTTCAAGAAAGTATTTGTGGTTATGATATAAGCTAGATATGACCTACTTCGCTTAACGTTACAATTAAATATTAGCATATTTACCAACAATTTAACGTTAAAAAAAAAAGGAATAAATTATCTGAAGGTGATATTTATTTTTCAAAACTTTCAAAAATGGGAAAATTACAATAAAAACAATAAGTAATTTATTTATAATATATTTGTAAGTATTACTGATTGCAATTATTTAAAAAAGTATTTTAATTACTTCAATATTGATAATTTTAAATATTAAACTGTCACGGATCTAATGTCCTTATGTAAACAAAACAGTAAATTCATTTGAAATTTTGCCAAATACTTTTGAACTATTTATTTTAAAACAAGTTTACAAACTTTGGCAAATGACAATGTAAAATATTTCATATTTTTCAATTCTTTTTTCCCCTCTCTTTCTTTCCTCTCTTTAGAATTTAACAAGTAATAAAGTTTATTTTTTTTTTTTTATCTCTCGCTCTCTTTTTATGTTTAAGAAATTTTTAAATTTGTATGAATTCATTCTTCATTCCACCAGTTCTTTGACTTATTACGTCAATTTTTCTACCTATTTCTTTGATATTGATTGAAGTTGTCTTTATTATTTTTTCAAAAATAGAATTCTATTTGCATTTATTATAACTGTATTTATATTTTTAAAGTAGATTCAATATTTTATTATTGCAATAAACATATCTTTTATTGCATTAATAATATAAAATTCAATCTTATTTTTTACCTTTTGAAATACTTTAATATATATATATATTTTATTTTGTTGTAGAAACTAATGTAAAATACTGTTTATATATCTACAAAATATTTATAGTTTTGAATCACCCGTTACATATTTAAAGAATGAAATATAATTATAACAACAAATATTTTTATACAGATATATAAATATAACTTTAAATTTTCATATCACTTAACTGTTTATCATTGATATTAATTCTATAGAATGATACTGGCAATTCATGATTTTTAATTAATAAATTCTGATCCATTTTCAAGGTGAACAAGTTACGTTTTTTTATACACTGATTTCCAAACTATACATTTTTAGATAACAATTTAGATAGAAAAACTGGCATCCGTCTATTGATATCATTTTAACCTAAAAATTTCGAGAAACAAGAATATTCATTCATGTTTTCGGCCATTAAAACCAAATAAAACAAATGCAAAGATTACATTACATTACAGCTGTATTAAAATTATTATTGTTATTTTAGTTTATTTAATCAACTAAATTTTCCCGTTGCTCGAATATTCTTTTCTTCTGGAATACTTTCAAGAATTGTAATATTAAACAATTTCAACTCAATTAATTATTTTCTTTGGATTTTTTTTTTTCCTTTCTTTTTAACTAAGAAATGTATTTAAAATTTAATTAAATAAAGATTGTGTGAAAGGATTTTATCTTGTAAAACTGTTTTACATTGTTACTTTAAAAAATAAAATAAATCTACTGTTTATATTCTGTAATTAATAAATAATATTTTATAAATACATTTATTAATATATCTGTGAATTAAAAAGATATGTCAGCTTGCATAATATTTATCCATTATTTAATAGTGATACAAAAACTATTAATTATAATTATAATTATTTCAGAACTTTTTGGATCAGATAAAATACAATAAATGCAAATTTCAGAGTTAGAATTTTATGAATGTAAATAAAATTCAAATTTAATATAACATTCAAGTGTTTGATTTAACTTTTCGAAAATTTTCATTACTGTTTATATGTTATTTAAATTGATACTTTTATTATTTTAAATGATACATTGCTGACAGTTACAAAATGGAAGCGGGTACTATTGTTTTACTTCTGATGGAATTTATGAACTTAATATATTGTTGATTTAATAATTGTATTATTTTGAAGGAAAAATGAATCCTGTATTTATTTACTAAGATTTTACTTTTTTTTTATTTCATTTGCTCTGTAATTAAAACTAACAGAAATAAAATATTCAAAAAATTTTTGTGTTTATCATTGATTTTTCTTAATTATCTTTATTTGTTTTCATGTAAGTAATTAAGTCTTTTAAAGTTTTACATTTAATTTTGGGAAATTCAGATAATATATTTAATTGACTACTCAGAATTCTTTAAAAAGTAAATAAATGTATGTTATATTTTAATATAAAGCAAAATTAAGAAATCAAAACATTTACATTTGTTTATCTTGCTTCTCTTTAAAGGAAAACAGATCTGTAGCTATGCCACCTCCTCAACTGGACGTACCAGAACTGATTATCACCAAATCGGCAGATGTAGACGAAAATAAAGAAAGAGGAAACTGGTCGAGCGGAGTGGAATTTCTGCTGTCGTGTCTGAGCTATGCTGTTGGATTGGGCAACATTTGGCGGTTCCCCTACCTCTGCTACAGGAACGGAGGGGGTGAGGGGTTTTTCATTGGGCCACAGCTCATTTCTCAGGTGCAGGACTTGGTTACATTAAATGAATGGACACGTAGAATCTGTCCTTTAATTTAATAATGAGCTTTTATAAACTTAATGTTAGTCAGCTGTGGTCTATTTTTCTTATTAATAGATTTAGTTGTAATTAATTTAGATAAATAACCTAAATTTATCATAAATAAAAATACTGCGTTTAGCAGTTTATTTAAATTTATAAATTAAATTTGACACTTTTACAGATAAAGGTATGATATAATTAACTAATTTTTCTAGCCTAGAATATTGTTCAAAGGAAATGTATCTAATCGATCAATTTTATATTTCCCATTACAGGTGCATTTCTCATACCATACACCATTATGCTGATCTTTGTCGGTTTGCCCCTTTTCTTTCTCGAGCTATCATTCGGACAGTTTGCTAGCGAGGGCCCAGTGACGATATGGAAAATATCACCACTTTTTCAAGGTAAAAAAAAAAAAATGACATTCTTACGGAACCAAAATCAATTTCAATCGGAAATTAGGTATTATTCTTTTAGAAGTAATTTAAATTTTAAATGAATGTAAATTAAATATTTTGTAATTTTCCATTTATTTGTAGGATTAGGTTATGCTATGTTTCTGATGTCAACATTAGTTGGTGTATATTACAACATGATTTTAGCTTGGGCTCTTTTTTATCTTTGCTCTTCATTTACAAGTCATGTTCCTTGGAGTTCATGTGATAATTGGTGGAATACCAATGGTTGGTGATCTTTGTAATGGAAAATATAATTTAAAAAAATGTGACTTAACAATATTTCAACATAGTTAAACTAGTTTTTTTCTATTACAAAATATTAATTTTTTTTTTAATAATTCAGCAAACAAAATTTATCAATTATAAAACTAGTTTTGATATACTTAACTATTTATTAAACCCATTGATTTGTAAATAAACGTAATTATCGTAACTGAATACTAATGAACTTTATACAGACACATTTTGAGTATAACTTGTCTGCTTGGACTTTCTTTTTAACTAGGACTTGACAGGTTAAAGTTACAATAAAGGTTTTTTAGTACAAATTTGTGTGGGTTTATTCCCTTCGATATAACTAGTTAAAAAGAAAGTGCCAGTAGACAAATTATACTCAATATATAAAATAAAGGACAAAAAGCATGCAATCATTTATTACTACTTTATTTAAGATAATTTTCTTATTAATAACAATATCAATTGTAAATCACTATAAATATTCTTCAATTTGGCTTTTGTATCTTTGTATTTAGGAAGTAAAAACTATAATATAAAGAACGAATTTCATTACATACCAATGTTAAATATAAAAATTTCATTAATATTTAATGTAAAATTTTAAATTAAAATAAAATGATGTTTATTTCCAGCTTGTAGAAAATTCGATACTAAAAACTGCACTGCTCACGATGGTATTGTTGTTGCTAATGGTTCGTGCATACTAAGGAGTCAAGTCAGTAACGAAACCTGGGCAGCAATTTCGAATTCAACAGATAACACAAAAATGGCTAGCGATGAGTATTTCCAGTAAGTATTTAAAAATTTTTAAATACATATCTATTATTTTCATTTATTTATTTGATATATTTTCATATAAAAATGTCAAAATAACTAAATTTATGAATGATTTAAACTTTTTCAGTAATTTCGTGCTCGACCTTACCGATGGACTACACGATCTTGGTGGCTTACGATGGCAATTGGCTATGTGTCTTCTGGGATGTTGGGTTATTGTCTTCTTCTGCCTTCTTCGTGGCGTTAAAAGTATGGGCAAAGTAAGTAGATTTTTTTCTTTTTTTGTTTAAAGCTGATATACAATTGATTATTTTTCATTTGAAAAGGAAAAAAAAAAATTTAGGAAATCAATATTCAAATTTTTCGGTAATTACCACATTAGAATAACTAAAGCAGCAGAGCACTCGCATAATTATTCAAATATCATTGACTTGATCTTCACCTTTGACATTATCTTTTTAACAGCTTTAGTCCTTTTCAAACTTTTTCTTTTTATTAAAACAATCAATTTAAACTGTAAATTTTTCTAGAAATTCTTAGTTAAGTTCGGAGAAAATACATACACTGATATATTATATGTCAGCCGTTTAAAGTATTTATTTTGAAGCCTTCTGGCAATATTTTTGTTTTCAGTTATTACCTTACATTTGTATTAATTCTGAGAATAATTATTTTTGAAAGAAAAAACATTACAAGTCGAATTCCATAGTTTAAACAAAGTTTTAGTTATTTCATTAATAATAAATAATGATAAATTATATTACAAAAATACATTATTGTATACTTTAAAAAAAAATAATAAAAAAAGAAGAAAAATAATTACTTTCACTAAATATATCTTATCACAAATAATTTTTATAAACTAATTTAAAATTTAAAAGTAAAAAAGGAAAAATCTTTTTCTTTTTTATGCTGTTTTTTTAACTTTACAAAATTCCAAAGCTGTATAAATTTCTAAAACTATAAACATTAATGTTTTAACTAAAACAATTCTAAATTTTAATTATTGTTAGTATTATTAAATATAAATAGCAATAATAAAATATATCTTAATATTATGATTAAATAGTTTATATTATTTTGCTTTTATTTAATTGAATTTGTGTTAAATATTTTGCAAAATTATTATTGCTTAAAGAAAACATTAAATTCTTTCTAGTGAAATATTAAAAAAAAATTATCAGCTAAACAAAGGATATTTTAAAAGTGTCAATCATCCACATAGTACAATGTTCTCATTATAAGAACAATAATTGTTAAGGAAAACTAATTTAAAAAAAAAAAGTTTCATATAAATTTCTTATTTTTGGACTATTTAAAAAGATTAATTTTTCAAATCTTTTTAATTTACGAGAAAATAAATTTTTAAAAATATTCTTTATAATTTGCATTGTGATGTTTGATGCATTATTTCATATTTATTTACAGTTGACCCCCCCTATAACTGTTGATTATTCCGTTTTATATGAATTCCATGTTGTACGAGTCACTTAGATTTTACAAATACGTGAGCCATTCACAGCCCGGCACACGTATTTGTAAAATCTAAGTGACTCATACAACATGGAATTCATATAAAACGGGATAATCAACAGTGTTATAGGGGGGTTGACTTGTATTTATTTTTCTTGATAACACTTATAGTAATACTGAAAATAATGCAGCAAACATTTGAGTTTTTTTCAATTATACATTAAAATTAGATTAAAAAAATATTAAATCCACAATATAAGATAATTTCTTTTAAATTATAAGAAACAATAGAATAGTTTTAATAGGTAATTTTACACAAATAGTATAATTTTATCTGAAGAAATTCTCAAGTATTCTAAAGTTATAAGGCAATAATCAATACAATATTTATTTATCATCATCTTTTAATGTTTTACTAAAATAATAAATTTATAAAAATTTAGTTAATATAATGATATCAATATTAAGTTGTGCATAAATTTGATATATCTTATGTATTTTAATGAAGTTCATTCAGAATTTTATTAATTCAGATGCAGACAATACTTTCTGTAATGTGTTTTGTGCTCTATTTAACTGTGATAAAATGAACTGGTGGTAGATTTTCTTAGGCAAACTTGACCATTTGTTTAGCTTCTGTATCTAAATGCAGAAAACTAACACTTGTTTTAATTGGCAAGTCACGAGGTCTTGTTATTTTGGGCCATTAACACTGATGATTTACAATTATCTGAAGTGTGAATAGTAAGAAGATATTTTTAAAGAATAGACTGGTATCCTGATCAAAAAATAAACAAACTCCAGAGATGAAAATTCTTGTAATTTTGGACAGTCGCCAATTAAAATATTCATCTGATTTTTCATTTACAAGTGCCTAATTTGAAATTTATTTTAGTAAATTTGTATATGATGCTTAAAATAGCTTATATATTTTTATCCTTTTTTTTTTTTTTTATTTTAATATCAACGGGTTTAAATTAGTTCAAAGTTAAACCCATAAATAATGAATATTTTTAATCAATGATTTTTTATTTTTTAAAATGAGTAGTGATAAAAATAATTACTAATATATTACCAAATTATAAAACTAAAAAGTTCATTTATAAAATTATAATTAACAAAACTAAACAATAATATTTATTTTTCAATCTATCTAACATTTATAGTAGTTTCATCATTATTCTCTACCTGTTTAAATGTTTATTTTTACTTTTATAATCCTTATTTAAGTGAATGAAAACAATAACAAATTAAAATAAGATACATATAACATCTTTTTTTTCTATTTTTTAAGTAAAAATTGCATTCTTATATTTAAAAAATTGCTTTAAAGAGCTGTTTATATGTATTAAATAAATATGTTTACATTGTTGTTATATAAAATTTTTATATTACAAGTAAAATTTTTATTAATAATTAAGGAGGAGGAGGAAATGTTCTGAAAACAAAACTTGTTGTATCTGACAAGCCATTTATCATATTATCCATTTATTTCCTCAACAGACAGGAAGCAAATTCTTTCTCCAAACTAAATGCCTCTTAAATTTCAGTCTGGCGATATTGTAGACCTATGAATAATTTTTATTTCTTCAGCATTATGGTATTTTTTTGGCATTTATATTCAGATTATGGTATTATTTAATGATGTTCATAAAGATTCACATCTTATAAAAACTAAGTTCAACTGCAAGTTATGTGTAAACATTCATTATACTGTATATTATACATTATGGAAAACTAAATTATATATTATTATATTTTTTTGAAAAGATGTAATTTAAAATTTTAAAAAGATATATTCGACTTTAATGCATAAATCGATAACTTTTCACACTTGGATTGTGGATTGTTGAAACTAAATTTTGGATTGTTGAAACTAAATTTTACTTTGGGAATTCAGTTGAAGTCAGATGTACAGTTTTCAAAATATATTAGATTTATATATTTAAAACTTGTTCAGATATTCATAACTTTTTAAGAATAAATAAGCAAGCCTGACTTTGAAATTTAGATGATATATTTAAGTGTGTTAATAAAATAATGTGTATAATACTTACAATTTATGAAAGCTTGCTAATTCATATTTTGTTTACTGAAAGGTTATAATTAATGCACACAGAAAAACTTAATTAGTGATTTAATAAAATTACTTAAAATCTAGAATTCTTTTTGTTTTAAGTAAAATATATATTCATTAAAGAAATTTTTATTATTAAACAAATTCAAATATTGATTTCAAGAATTTATGATGTTACATTAATTGATTATAAGCTTTTGTTAGTTTTATCTATTTTCTTTTAATTTTAAATGTACTTTTTAAATATTTAAGTAGCAAATAATTTAAATTGTTCAAATTTAATAAGTTAATAAATTCTTCATTCATTTAACTTACACAAACTTTCTCTGCCGATTCTTTGTTTATATTCTAGTTCACAATTAAAACTAAAAACTTTTTTAATATTATATATTCGTAAATAGANATATGCTGAAGTTGTTTATATTTGTACATACTTTTACATTATTGTTACCTCACAGTTTAAACCATATGTTAATTTTTTCAGGTGCTGGTTTAGCTTTTGTTGCCTATCCAGAAGCTGTAGCTAGATTACCAGTCTCACCATTGTGGGCGTTTTTGTTTTTCTTTATGCTCCTTACACTTGGACTGGGAACTCAGGTAGAATGATTAAAAAAAATAACAATCATTATATTATAGTTTTGTGAACATTATGTAATTCTAATAAATTTTTTTCTATATTATAAAAGTTTTCTAATTAATTTTTAATCAATAGTTTACTCTTATTGAAACTGTTGTTACCACAATTGTGGATACTTGGCCCGAACGTTTACGTTCTCGCAAGTCATTCGTCTTGGCTGGTTGCTGTTCAGTAATGTTCTTTCTTGGTCTAGTTATATGTACAGAAGTATTGTAGATTGATAAAATTACAGGATTCAACTTAAATGAAATGTTAACTAGTAGATTAATATGTCTAGTTTTATGAGCATTTTAATTTATTTTATCATCATTTGAATAAATTCATTTGATAATTTTATTGTGAATGAATATTATAATTTAAGAAAATATTCTTTCCTAAAAGAGAATTCTGAGAAAATATATCATCATTCCAGTTCTTAAATATTCCAAACTTTTTACTTTTATAATATTCGACAAAAAATAGTTGTGAATATATTAGCCATGGAAATAGATTTGTTAGGATAAATAATATTTTACCAGTAATTTATTATTTGTGCATTCTTAAAACTATAATTTAATTACTGGAAAGGATGATTTAAAGTTTAAAAGTTTTAAATAATTCAAGTGACTTTCAAAAAAGACAGAGGCTATCCAAAAAAACAACTTCCTGTAAATTAGATATAAAATTTAGTAAGGATTAACACACAATTAGAGGTAGCATATGTGTATACTAATACTAATTTAGGTAAATCTTTTGAATATTTGATACTAAATTATCTTTCATAATAAACGTGTATAGAAATGTTTCATTTATTTCTTTTAGTCATAAAAGTCTTTTAAGATTTTCTTGAATACGGCATTTAACAAGTAATCTAAAAAGCATCTTTCATTATTCAGGAGTCATTAGGATATATTTATAACCTAATAATTCTTGAACATTGGAAGATACTTTTTTAAAAAACTTTCAATCATATTTTTTCTACATCTACAAAGCAAATGTCTTTTTTTAAGAAGAAAATAGGCAATTTAATTTTATGTAGATAAGGTATAAGAATTTTCTATAGTCAACAAAAAATATTGTATATTTTGAAGCAGTTATTGAGTTAGTTCATTGACTGACATATCTATAGTCCTAATTTCTATTTTCCTTCCGTTGAAGGGCTTGATTTTATCAGCCATGAAGAAACAAGAATTTATTGAAGGACTATAAAGAGGTCAACCAAAACTAAACATTGATAACTGAGATTATTCATTCAAAATACAAAACATAAATAATTATCGTTTTAATTGTAAGGAGAGCCTTTATTGAGAACAAGGAAAGTTTTAATTAAATTTACAAATAAAATTTTTGAATCTAAAGGATTAAAAAGTTTTAATCCTTTAAATGCTTTAAATAAATTTTGAAATTTAGAAAATATTTATAATTGTTTACAAATAAATAACTGCATATATTAAAATTTTTTTACTATACTTTAATATTTAAAAATTGTATATATTCTAAAAATTTGATTTAAATTATTCTTTACATAAAAAAATTTCATAGGATCATTTTATGAGGAAATATTACACTAATAAGAAACCTGTATACTTATATATATTATTATATAAGCATACAGTACAACAATTTACATTGGCTGAAATCTGAAATAATTGGCTTCATGTTGTACAATACATGATAATCATTTCATAATAAAATATTCATTTTTTATTAAGGAATAATTTTTTTTTATTGTAAAAATACTTCTCAATGAATTTTTCTGAAGAAAAATTCTCTTTCATACATTCTATCTGAATTTGTTTATTCAAAACAGACAACTACAGGAATCAAAATATGTTTCTCAAGAAACATTTTCGGACTTTCTAATTCAATATCAGTTGTTCCTTATAACTTAATTATGCAGATAGTTATAAGGAACAACTGCTCAAATCAAATTTTCAGAACTATAATCTATATTTAACAATGAAATCTAGATTAGATTCAGTTTAATCTAGTTTCTCTATTGTAACTGTGTATAGTTTAAAAAAAAAAAGAAACTTGTTTGATATTAATACGTAGATCTATTATACTTTCAGGCTGTAGTGTAGCATAGTATAGTACAGCAGTTCCCAAAGTATGTGCCGCGACTTTGCCACGAAATGTTATAAAATTTTTATAATGTTAGAATTTGACATAGGGCACCTTGGGAAAATCTGCATTTAGCAAGGGCACTTAGAATCAAAAAAGTTTGGGAACCACTGGTATAATATAATAATATGTTTTGATTACATCATTCTACAATATTCTATTTTGTTATTTTAACAGGTTGTGTACTTTACCGCTTTGTTTCCATATGTTGTATTGATGATACTGTTGATACGAGGAGCTACATTAGAAGGATCTTATGATGGTATCATGTTTTATTTAACACCTCAGTGGAAAAGGCTAAAAGAAGCAAGAGTACGTTAAAATAATTTTACATATTTTTATAATTTGTAGCAGTTTGGTATATAAATAGAGTATTAATAATGTTTATATTACTTTATAAAAGGTATGGGGTGATGCTGCTATGCAGATATTTTTCTCACTTTCTCCTTGTTGGGGTGGTTTAATAACTTTGGCAAGTTATAATCGTTTTCATAACAACTGTTATAGGTCAGTACATTATTTACTGTAATTTTATTGCCATTTCTAGTATAAGAAAAAATTTTTTTATGATTGGCATTTATGCAGAAAGGCTAAATACTTTTCAAATAAATTGATATTATAATTTTATTATTAACAGAGATGCTCTTTTTATCACATTTGGTAATAGTGGAACCAGCTTCTTTGCTGGCTTTGTAATTTTCAGCATTGTTGGTTTCATGGCTCATGAATTAGGAGTTCCTGTATCTGAAGTTGCTGCTCAAGGTAATTTGTCTGAAATTCCTAAATGATAAAATATCATATGCTGAAGTTGTTTATATTTGTACATACTTTTACATTATTGTTACCTCACAGTTTAAACCATATGTTAATTTTTTCAGGTGCTGGTTTAGCTTTTGTTGCCTATCCAGAAGCTGTAGCTAGATTACCAGTCTCACCATTGTGGGCGTTTTTGTTTTTCTTTATGCTCCTTACACTTGGACTGGGAACTCAGGTAGAATGATTAAAAAAAATAACAATCATTATATTATAGTTTTGAGAACATTATGTAATTCTAATAAATTTTTTTCTATATTATAAAAGTCTTCTAATTAATTTTTAATCAATAGTTTACTCTTATTGAAACTGTTGTTACCACAATTGTGGATACTTGGCCCGAACGTTTACGTTCTCGCAAGTCATTCGTCTTGGCTGGTTGCTGTTCAGTAATGTTCTTTCTTGGTCTAGTTATATGTACAGAGGTATGTTAGTTAAATAATTAATTTAAATATTTTTTTATAAATTTAGGTTATTTCTAACATTCTTAATATTTTGATTTTAGGGAGGAATGTACATATTGCAATTGATGGATAATTACTGTGCTAGTTTTTCTGCTCTTCTTATTGGCCTAATTGAAGTATCAGTCATAGCATGGATATATGGTATACAAATATTAATTTAAATGTGACTTTTCTTGTTTGGCAATATATATACTACAATAATTATTTTATGCATGTTTAGGTATTGAAAAATTTCTTGATGATATTAAAGTAATGTTAGGACATTATCCCTTCCATTATCAATACTGGAAAATCATATGGAAGTATCTTGTTCCCTTTTTGATTTTGGTAAGTTGAAATAAAGTTTTAAATGATTTAATTTAATAAAAAAAAATTAAATTTCCATTATGTAACTGAATTATTAAATTGTAAAACTGAGTATGAAATTTGTTTTTACTAAAATCTATTTTTATAGCCCAGCAAGTGTTTTATTAAAGTCAAAGGTTTTGAGTTTCTTTATAAGCTACCTCAAAATTACGTAGATTAACTAACATTAATTGAAATCTTTGTAATTCTTTTAAAGTAAAAAAACATGAGATTATATAGATTTTAAAAAATTATTAAAGTACTTTTTAGATTAAAAAAATTATTTCTTAAATAAAATATAGTTTTGTATTTAGAATTAAAAGGGAAATTAAATCTCAGTTTGTTTAATAACAGCATCATTCTCTAAGTTTTGCATTTGGTTAAAGTACAGACCAATGTTTAGTATAATGACACTGATACATGTCAACATTTAACTATATTTCAAGAATTATTTATGTCAAATATTCATTTGCAATATGAGTAAAAGTAGTTATTTGTTTAAATATATTTTCTTTTTATTATCCATACTTTCTAATAGTAAAAAAATTGAAATTTTTATGCCTTTTGAAGTTTGATAAACTTAACTTAGAAAAAGGATAAAAATGAAACAGTGAACACAATTGAAAAAATATATATATACTGTATATATGTATATATATATATAACACACTCATAATAATAAAATATTTCTAGCTAATTTTTATTGATAATGAGCATCTTGTTTTAACAGAAAATTTATTTATAATAACTGGTATTTTATACTTTGATTTTCTATGAATATATATTCAAAATGTTTGCATAATTCTGTCACATATAAAAGTCACATGACAAAATCATGTTCACTAGCATTGAACATGTCAATATACATTAAAATAATTTTAACTTTTTCAATAAGAAATGGATAAGCAAATTTTCTTGCTCTAAATGTTTACCTTAGCTTTAACAAAACAAACAATCCTCCTTTTCCAAAAATAATCACTAATTCATTTGTGATTTAACTATAACTAATATTTTCTATATTACATCTCTTCTAATATGTCAGTACAACATATTATAATTATTTAAAATAAGAAAGTTTGATTTATATAATGTTTTACCAGTACTAAAAAATAATCTTAAAGAGAAAAAAACTGTTTTAAAACAAATTTTGTTAAGATACTTTTCTTAATAAGATATGAAAAGTTCATGTTTTAATGATCAATTTATTATTATTTTTTAGTTTATTTTAATATTTACTTGGGTCGATATGAAACCAACTGAATATGGCAACTATATTTATCCTGACTGGGCTACCGGCGTAGGTTGGTGCATTTCTCTCATATCTGTGAGTGCAATTCCAATTGTTGCAATTGTCAAAGTATTAAAGGCTAAAGGACCTCTTCTACAGGTAAAATTTATATACTAATTATTTAGTTTATTACTATTATTAAAAACTTGAATTTCAGAATCATCAGGTCAAAAAAATGATAGCTTAATCTTTAGATTAGTTGGTATTTACTCCTAAATATTTTGATGATGAAACATTTGTTTGGTTTGCCAAAGTAAATTAGTTGTTTGTTTCTTCATATTTACTTATGTACATTTATCTATTTCCATATTAATATGAATATTTTGCAACCATAATCTAAAGTATTCTATGCATAAAAATAATCTTCTTTTAAGGAAGCATAAAATGTAAATAAACTGCAATAATATTTACTTGTAATGCTTGTATCTTCACATTACATCATATATTCAAACATTTTAGGAGTCAAAACCATTTTTTTTTATTAAACATAAAATTTGATATAGTTGAAGGTGAATTGTAAGGTTCTGTGTTTACTATAAAAATATTTTGATTTCTAAAAATGTTTGAATTTTTCACGCTAAATCAATAATAATGTTGGTAGTGTAAATTGCAAATGATATCAATATCATCATCTGAAATTATAAAATAATATATAGGAATAAACACACAAATCTTGTGTAGTCTACATATTTCAAATGCAAATTTAATATTTGATCGCAGAGTATTAATAAGAAATATTGAAATTAAACATCATTTATATAATTAATAAAAAATATTTAAATGTAAAAGAAGGAAAATTGTTATGAATTAATTAAATTCATAGTATTTTCCTTATTTTCTAATTTTCCTTGTTTACCTGAAAATATTTATGTATATATAAACAAACTTAAATATTTATAATTAAGCAAAATATTTCTTAAAATCATTTATAGGAAAAATATTTTAAAAACATTTATTTCAAAAGGTTTCATGTAAATATTGTGAGTATTGTATTCATATTAAATATTTTAATAAAAAAATTTATTATTATTATCTTTCTGTTATCTGCTTTCAATGAATCAGAGTCAATTTACTAAGAAGAATATTTGATATATTTGATTTTGCTAATTTCAATTATACTCCATAAAAATTTATATATTTTGTATGATTCAAATAGTCTGTATATTTTAATATAAAAGTTTTAATCTATGTAAACACATATGTAGAAGAAAATAAATTCTGCTTTTAATTACCATTATTATTATTTAAAATATTTCCTCATATACTAGATGATTATAATTACAATATCACTATTCAATACTGTCTAGACAGATATTTAGCAGTTCAAATGCAATCAAATCTGGTATTGACATTTCAAGATATGCAGAAGACATTTTTGTAAAAGAAATTACTATCAAAACTCACTAACATGGCACTTTTGGTACTTTGGTTCTTAATCTGTATGATTTTCAGTTGTGAATAAACTTAAAAAGTTGTATAACATACATCTCAAAGCCCAATGAGTATATATAGGAACATTCAACAATCACCTAAATGATCAGGCTACAATGCACTAATTTTAAATAATTAATACAAAGTAATTTGCCACTAGTAATGGTGCCTAACATTTACCTCTAGTGGCAAATTACTTTGTATTAATTATTTAAAATTAATACAATTGTAGCCCAATCATTTAGGCAATCATTAGATGTTCCTATATATACTTAAAAAGTTGGTTTATTGAAAACATATTTCAAATCTAGTATCTTTGAAAGACAGTATCTCACTGCATATGAGAAGTATTAGAAAGGATCAGTTATGGTTGGCCATTAGAACACACAGTTCACTATCTTCAGGTTTTACATCTTAAGAATGAGTACCATATTAAACAATATTCCTTGTATCACTAAAATCTGTGTATAACACAAGTGTCTTGTACAAATAAAATGTTTGTTGCTTGCAGTGTTAATACTTGGTTTATACACCGACGCTTAATGTATGCTGACCAATTATTATTATTACAACACTCTACTTTTAATAAATATTTTTACATAAATTTATATAGCAAATAGAATATAATAAACATTTTAAAGATTTATCATTATAATTTATAATATTTTATGAAAAAATAAGCATTAAACTACTTAGTCTGTTTAATTCTTACTCTGTATGAAATATATTTTAAAATTTCAAAACTTTTTCAGCGCATCATCATTTTATCTAAACCAACTGCTGAATGGGGCCCAAAACTGCAAATGCACCGTATGGAAACTCATAGTCCCAAGCATACCGATTCTCAAGTACCACTTGCTTTACCCAACTATGATCCAGATGGTGATCAAGATTTTTCAGATGATACAAATTCAGATAAACCAAGAAATAGTCTAGACAGTAATTCTGACTTTGAAGGTTTAAGACTAAATATACCTAATAGTGTGACAGAGACTGGAGTGTGATAGCAAAGTGAGTTTGCTAAGCATGTACTCTGTGGATGGACAAGTGGTTCTGCACTTACTGATCCATGCCAAAGGAAGGTATAACAACATCACATTTCTGCAGTTGAAATGGAACGTTCTACATACAAATAATGCTGACAATGTCAGCAGCGCCTGATTATGCAAGGCATTGAGATAACTATTGTAAAAATATATTGCTGCTTATTGCAGCTAAAAAAGCACTAGAAAGGTAGTACTTTGTATAAATATCATACTGTAGAATAGTTTCAGAATGAAATTTAAAGTTTCATTCACAGCAATATAAAATAGAGAAAACATTTTTTTTTTTTTTTTTAATTTTATAATTAAATGTTAACATAAAGACTATTATATAAAAACAATAGATTAATAGAAATCAACATTTCTTAAATTTTAATTTGATAAAATAATTTCAAAACATTAATGGAAATGATTAAAATATAAAGAAACAGAATAATTAGGAAAGTATTTGATGACAAAATTCAATAATGTTAATTATCTGATAAGAAAAGGGTATAAAGAACTGTGCAGAATCATTAGCCGTTTCCAAAATACTGTGGTACTATGATTGCACTTAAAGCTTCACAACTTATACTTCATGTACGGGCTAGTTGTCATTTTTGTTCAGAAATCACATATGAATGTATATTTCATCCATTATTTCGTGTTTGTCTTTGGTGGGTATGGTTAATGGTGTTTTTATTTTTTTAATTACATATCATGGCATAATTTAATTCCTTTTTAATTCTTGTCATCCAGAGAATTATAAAAGCATTTAAGTTAAAATGACATCTCTGTTACTGTACATTCAACAAAAGCAAGATTTTGGTTCCTTTTTTTCCGTATTTAAAGAATCACTGTGTTATTATTTCTTATATTTAAAACAAAAATAAAATTTTTGTTTTTAGTTTAATGGTAATCAATTTACCATAAAAACTGTTTTCTTAAATATTTATGTTGCTAACTTTCTAAATAACGAATAGTAGTAAGAAGAGAGAGACTTTCTGTAACACAAGTTAGTCACCTTAGTTTTAAAAAATATATTGTGACACTATGTGAAATTATTATCTGTTTAACTATATGTTTTATAAAACATTTTGTTTATCAAATCAAATCACTTAAAAAAGTTTATTGATTTGGCTGCACTGGTACATTATTAGTTTAAAATCCTGAATGCTGAAAACATATAACAGGTAGAGAACCTTTTTAAATTGGAAGGCCATTTTTAAAACTGTTTTCATGTTCATTTCATTCATTTGATCTAATGTTTCATTTAATATGAATTACAAGATTCCTTGCTACAAATCTAAATCTTTCTGATTGCATCAGAAGCTGACCTGAAATCATATTACTAATCAAATAGTCAAGACAGACTTATTATAAGGCTATTATTTTCCGATTTGAAACGTGATTAACTTATAAATAAGCCATTATATTTAATGTTTATTTTTTAATTAAAAATAATGTAAAAAATGATAATGTACATAACTGTTTTCTTGACTAATTATCATCTCCAATTCACATACTTCTTAATTAGAAAGTTAGCGGCATTTAATCTTATTTTTTAATGTATCATTGATTGAATAATTATTGAGTTTGTAATAGCATCTATTAATTTCTAGAAAAAAAAAAAGTAAAACATTTAGCCCCCTACTAGTCTATTCTAAAGTAAATTACTTCTACAATTAGCAAAATCCATTAAAATATGTGATATATGCATGTTTCTGAATTGTTAACGTCAGCTAACAGTTAAAAATATTTATAAACTTTCATTTTAAACGTATTGATATAGTTTAAAAGTTTTTATCAGCATATTAAAATATTTCTTTGGTTTTATATTTTAAAAATTGTTTCATAGTTATATTGATTTATATAAAATATAAATATATACAATTAAATATTCTATTTTTATGCCACCCTTTGATAATCAAATTTAACTTGGTGCCATTAGATTGAAAAAAAAATGTNCATCATATGAACATAATACATAACAAACTTATAGAGTTTAGATAAATTTATCATATTGCTGAATTCAATAAATTTAATGCAACTTGTTAAGTTTTCTTAATTAAAACTTTGATGCAGAATGTTTAAAGATTTTTTTCATTAAGATTAAAATTGCGTAAAAATACTTACCATCATATGAACATAATACATAACAAACTTATAGAGTTTAGATAAATTTATCATATTGCTGAATTCAATAAATTTAATGCAACTTGTTAAGTTTTCTTAATTAAAACTTTAAAAAATAATGTTTGATATAAAATTCAGCTTTTCACATTAATATAAATTTATAAAGTTTCCATTAATTCCGATTTATCTTTTTTTATCAAACAGTAGAACTTACATATTAAAGCTGACAATATAGAGATATTAATGTTTTCATTAATTCAAAAATTACTCACAACTTACTTTTTTCTGAATACTTTTTTCTTCTTTGTTGAAATTCAGTTCTATTAGTAACGTATCTGTATCGACTCTAAATTTATATGTAATCATACAATTTCTGCTACAATTCCTTCATTCTGATATGAATTAATGACAATAACACCAACAATCTAGCACGTAATAAATAAATTTAATGATAAAACAAACACAGGTGTTCTTTTGTATCAATAGAACAGTTTTTACCTGAAGATGACGATTAAAAAATGGCAGAAAACATTTGCTTTATCATTAAATTTACTTATTACGTACTGGATTTTTGATGTTATTGTCATTGATTCATATACGAATATCTAGTTTCTCTTCTACTGACTTCGATATTATTCCTTCATTCTTTAACTAAATTATTTTTTTCTACTGTTGAATTTAGCAATAGACGATGCTAAAAATGCTTGCACATTGACGTATTAATATGAGATTATGAACATTAGGTTGACCTACATAGAAATATTTGCACAATAATTTACAGTTTCTTCATTTTCACAATTTCAGCATAACATTAGCAATCTTTGATGTAAGACAACAAAACTATGACCGATGTGTTTGACAGAAAAACAGGATCAGCATGAAAGTGTATAAAAAAAATATATGCGTTCGTGTTAACAATTTACACAAACTGTTTATATTGCTATTGTTACGTAATAATTATTTTCAAAGAAAATTTAAATATATTATTGTAGCAAATTAAAATAATACTTAACAAATTAGTCTAAAATAAATTAACTTACATTATTTTATTAATTTAATTAAAATTTCCAGAATGCATTAAATTTCATTTCTTTAAGAAATTAAATTAAATTAAATTTTAATTAATCTCTCTGAAAATTTATGCAATTAATTATTTTACAACTCCAATTAATAAGATTAATAAGTAGACTGAAATTCTGTTAATTCATATATAATGTTTAACACAATTTCAGAATAAGTATAGTAAGCCAAAACTTTATCTGTGCTCTCTAAATATTTAAAATACATAATCAAAAATGATTAGCCTTCATTGAATTATGTGCAATCATTTATATGTATTTACTATTTATTTGTTATATATATAATTTATTGAGAAAAGCTGAATTTTATATCATTGAACTTTTTTTTTCTTCCATATATTTAAATTAGGTTTAAAACTATTCAAAATATTTTGCATATATCCATAAAAAAACAGTATAATACTGTTTTAACTTAACTATAAAGCATGATTTTGTCTGAAAATTGTTACATGTTTAAAATATATTTTTATTTTTGTAATTTACAAAAAAAGAATTATGTACTTACACATTATTCACGATATTTTTTAATGTTAATGTTGAATTTAGCTGCTTGTAAATATTACGAGTTTTATTCAATTTCAAAAATTATCGATTCTAGTCCTAGTTAGACGATTCTTAATGAAACCCTCCCCTCTTTCCTTTCATAAAATATTCTAAATCTCAATAAATGGTGCATGTAAAATAAATGCGTGATGTGAAAAAAAGGTGCTTAATTCACATTGGCACAATATAGAAAAATTTTTATATTCATTGTTACATTGGCACAATTAGTAGTACTTATTTTTTGGAAAGCTCAGAATCAAGTTAACGGTAAAACAAAATGTAAAAAAAGTGCCGAACATTTTATTATATCTCCAACATGAGATTTCATAGGTGCTGGCAGAGTTTATCCTATTTAAGAAATATCTGAAAAAATGACCAAAAAAGTTTACAATACAAAAAAATAGAAGAAAAAAAAAAAATGCATTAAATGGTGCCATTATCTAATTAGTTCCTGATATCATAATTGTGTTTGTATTTCATCCGGAGTATGATATGTTCATCTTCATATGTACAGTAATAATATTTATATAAATGGTGAATTATTAGATTAGTAAGACAGATGTGCAGCATATTAGCATTTTTGTAGAAGTAATGATACAGTGATTTATTAATTAAGCATCGAATGGAATTGTATATTCATTCACCACTGCCTAATTGACTATTTAAACTTAAGTGCAGTAAACTGAGTGAATTTGTATGTTGACAGGTAAAGCATTTTCATAATTGAATGATTTTCTTAACAAGCTTAGGATAAATTCATACTAATTTGATATATCGTCATAACTAATTTATATAAATTATTTGCTCTGATTAAAATTAAACATAAATGTTATCTGCCTTTATCGACATTCAACATAAAAATTCACTTTACATATAAAAATGACCAAATTGCAGTTGTAAATATTTTGACAGTCGTCATTTTTACATTGTAATATAATTATAAAATATGGACAGTTTTCTATTTAGCCAATTTGTTGTGTTATATCATTGATTCAAATATTTTATAATAATAATTATATAAAAAAATTTTTTAAACATTTACAAATGATCCTTAATTTATAGCACGGTTTGTATTCAATAAGCCCTTCAGGATGCTCGAATATTTTGTATGCAGTTTTGAAAGATTTTTCCATTTGATACCTCTTAAACAGAAGAGATATATGTAAATTATATATTTTTAAAAAGTAATTGTACACGATAATATTGTTATATCATTAAAAGTTACATAGGTAATTCTAGACTTTTGCTTCTTTAGTTTGGAATAATCATGAATATCCTTTTGAATCTTGCAATTTATAACTTTGTCATGATAGAAATTAGTTGAAAATTAATACTTGCTGATTTTTCATGCTAACAAAATGATTTATAAATGTAATGAATTACCTAAAATCTGATCATTGACCTTTCATTTATAATCTTACTACTGAATTGAAAATATTAATTAAAAAAATAAATATTAAAAACAAAACTTTCAGTTGTATTCATAATTTATATATTCAATATGTAATTACATGTTGAATATTTATATAATTTCTTCAAGTAGTCCTTCACATTGACATTTTAAGTCAAAGAATAGCTAAATTAAACATTAAATATATGATAATAATTAGCATTTTTACATTTTATATTCTCAATCAAAAATGTTCCTGTGGTGCTGTGATGTCAATGGCACCATCCCTGCACATGCCTTTGTCATCAATTATTATTAATAGTCTGAAGTGGTCAGATTTCAGGAATTTCATTAAAATTTATTACCATATTAATGAGGATTCAAAGAGCATCAAATAGAAAGTGCATTTTAAAATTAGTTATATTTATATTGTTTATTTCTAATTTTAATTCACACAAAAAGAATTTCAAATTGCAAAAATAAATAAATATACACAGATTACTTTACTATACTTTTTCTAAAAATTATTAAGGACTGTCAAGTTTTTGTACTACTACCATCATATCAATTCATCAAAACTTTCTGATGTAAAACATTTGTCAAATGTTTGACCATTTACATTCATAGAATGATTGTTACATACTCATTTGGATCAACGTATTAAATTTGTGCTTCCAAATTTAATTTGAGGTTGTAGAAATAAATACTGAAAATGTATTGTTTAAGTCTTCCTCGTTTATTTTCTTAAATTAATGAAAATCCTTTAATTAGGAAAATTTTCTACTTTTAATTACAAAACAAAAATTGATTTTTTAATGTAAACAACATTCATAAAATTGTAAAGCTGTCATTGATGTATATAACAGCAAAAATATTAGAATTTTGTGTAAAAATTAATTTAGGATTAAATGTAACCACAACAGAAGCTAAATACAATATCTGCCATTATTTATGTAAACATTGAAATATGTCTCTTATACGGAAGTAATTATCATTTTGTTAAAGATAAGCTAGATTATTTTGTAAGAATTGACACAGAAGTAAACAAACTGTAAATGAAACTTTGTAATCATTTGTAAATAAGGTGTATTACATTTATGTGTTTTCATGTGGGTTTATTGTTACTGTACACAATGACAACGGACTGGCTGCTCTCTCTGCTTCACTAACATTGATTCTTTGCTACATGTTGTCAATATCAAACTTGGAGCCAGAAGCATTGAGAACAAGTCCTAAAACATTTGTTTTTTGTTTATAATGTGTACCAAACACAATATAAGCATAAGAAAATTGCTGTACTTACTTTGCTAGTTATGCTGTTAATTAACAACAGTATAGCTATTATAATTCTGTACTTTCAGTGCCTATAATGTTTTGGACTGTATACGATCATAAATTTTTCTGATGCTGTGTATAATAAATTGAATATGTTTTCTTGTCTGTATTTAAAGATTGCATTATTTATTCAAAATTTAATGTAATAATGATTTACTGAAAATAGTTTAAAAAGAAAAAATAATAATAATCATGTTTAGAAGCTGGCTAAATCATCATCAATAAATTAACTTTTTGCAATGTGTATTATAGTACTATTTATTTGTTATATATATAATTTATTGAGAAAAGCTGAATTTTATATCATTGAACTTTTTTTTTCTTCCATATATTTAAATTAGGTTTAAAACTATTCAAAATATTTTGCATATATCCATAAAAAAACAGTATAATACTGTTTTAACTTAACTATAAAGCATGATTTTGTCTGAAAATTGTTACATGTTTAAAATATATTTTTATTTTTGTAATTTACAAAAAAAGAATTATGTACTTACACATTATTCACGATATTTTTTAATGTTAATGTTGAATTTAGCTGCTTGTAAATATTACGAGTTTTATTCAATTTCAAAAATTATCGATTCTAGTCCTAGTTAGACGATTCTTAATGAAACCCTCCCCTCTTTCCTTTCATAAAATATTCTAAATCTCAATAAATGGTGCATGTAAAATAAATGCGTGATGTGAAAAAAAGGTGCTTAATTCACATTGGCACAATATAGAAAAATTTTTATATTCATTGTTACATTGGCACAATTAGTAGTACTTATTTTTTGGAAAGCTCAGAATCAAGTTAACGGTAAAACAAAATGTAAAAAAAGTGCCGAACATTTTATTATATCTCCAACATGAGATTTCATAGGTGCTGGCAGAGTTTATCCTATTTAAGAAATATCTGAAAAAATGACCAAAAAAGTTTACAATACAAAAAAATAGAAGAAAAAAAAAAATGCATTAAATGGTGCCATTATCTAATTAGTTCCTGATATCATAATTGTGTTTGTATTTCATCCGGAGTATGATATGTTCATCTTCATATGTACAGTAATAATATTTATATAAATGGTGAATTATTAGATTAGTAAGACAGATGTGCAGCATATTAGCATTTTTGTAGAAGTAATGATACAGTGATTTATTAATTAAGCATCGAATGGAATTGTATATTCATTCACCACTGCCTAATTGACTATTTAAACTTAAGTGCAGTAAACTGAGTGAATTTGTATGTTGACAGGTAAAGCATTTTCATAATTGAATGATTTTCTTAACAAGCTTAGGATAAATTCATACTAATTTGATATATCGTCATAACTAATTTATATAAATTATTTGCTCTGATTAAAATTAAACATAAATGTTATCTGCCTTTATCGACATTCAACATAAAAATTCACTTTACATATAAAAATGACCAAATTGCAGTTGTAAATATTTTGACAGTCGTCATTTTTACATTGTAATATAATTATAAAATATGGACAGTTTTCTATTTAGCCAATTTGTTGTGTTATANAGTTTGGAGTTCCTTGACATTGGATTTTTAGTATTTTTACTCAATATAAAGTACATTCTTATATATATCTGAACAGATTCTTTATTTTAATCTGTATTTAGATTATGTCTTATCATTATTTAGCAATGATCAAGTATCTATCACAAGATAAAAGATCAGTTAAATACAATTAATAACTCTTTCAGCATTAAAGTTTTATTTTTAATTAACACAGAATAAAAAAAGCAAGCAATCTTCAACTTATTTAAAAAAATAAACTTCAATATACAGTGAAATATTACATTGATATATTGAAGTTCATATACTGTACAGTACTGTATATAGGCTACCTATTACACTAACTAATTTATGTTTAAACAAACAACTAAACATTTAAAACAATTTAATATATTGGAATCTCTCTGCTGACTATGAAAGTTCAAAAACATTAAAGTATTTGGCGCCCTTCTATTTTGTTATCAATGTGCGACGCGACACTTCGCGACCGTCGCGCGCGCCACGCGAATGGCGCGCGCAATGCCTGTTTCAGTGGTTCTCGATTACGGAAGCAATGGTATTGTTGTTTGCTACAGTATAAACTCTCGGTGAAAAAAGGGTTTCCTTTTCTTTGTGTTTAAAAAAACCGTAATTTGAAAGAAAAATTACCAAAACGGATAACAACAGGTTTATTAGCCTGTTTTGTTATCCAACACAGTAACAAAATAAAACAACAAAACAAACTTATTCACACGCTAGACTTAAAGGAAAATTAACAAAGTGGATAACATAGTTAATTTGTCTTACCATGAATTTACACGCTTGACCTTATAGGAAAATTATCAACACGGATAATAAAAAATAAATGTCAGTGAGTCTGCTTTGTTATCCCATTTGTTTACACACTAGACATAAAGGAAAATTTACCAAAATGAATAAGAAAATAGACATCAATATATCTGTTTTGTTATTTATGTACTGTACCATAATATTTACAACTTACGTTTAAGAGTACAGGAGACAGACTGCGCGTAGCACTTTCCGAACAGACCATAGACCGGCCGCCATTTAGCTAAACAATCGGATTAGTGTTAATCTGACAACTAAGACTTTAATGACTTACAGATTAGCTAAACAAACTACACAACAATAATTACAACGTTAAATTTTAAGTTAAAGGCAATTGTTTTTGGCTTAAAAGTAAAATACCAATTTGCAACTTACAAAGCCAAAGTTACGGCAAAACAGGAAACATGCCCATAATAAACGAAGATAAAGGTGTTTACTGTGTCGGAATCTTTTGTTTTTGCCATTTCGGTTACGTCCTTCCTCCCTCGTCGTCGACGGAAAAAGGAATAATTTGCATAAAATCCCGAATTAATGTCACGCGGCGTTTATTAGCCAAACTACTGTATTTGTAATTTTGAATTCTTTCTAACAGCAAAAACTAAAAAACACGTGCAAAATGCATTAAAACGCTAAAAGGTATTTGAAAATTTCTAAATTACAACAATTTTTTTTTCAATTAATAATGTCTAAATTGAAGTTTGGCTTGAGAATAGATGGGATAACAAAACAGACTTCTTAACATCTGTTTTGTCATAATTCGGTACTTTCTTCTCCTTTTTAAATCACCATTTCGTTTTTTTTCCCCTCCGAAATACACCCCAAAAATACCGTGCCCTTAGAATTAGAATGAATACATTAAAATAAAAACAAAAAAAAACATTTAATTAAAGTTTATTATTTACCAAAAGCAATTACAGATAGAAAAATAATTCACATTGACATTACATTATACTTGAGAGACAATATTCCATAGAATATAATTAGCCATCCGTACCCTTAATGATAAAAATATATTTACAGATATATACAAAGAGTGGGTAGCATGGGTGGCTATTAAACATTCTATAGGTTGATTATAATTGAACAATAACAAAGGAGGATTATTAACAGAGTAATATATAATATTATACATTTCTAAGATATTGTAAGATAATTAATATAACAGTTGTAGCTATTTGACATTTACTTATACATTGTAGGTAACATTGCAGACAAAAGAGGTGGATGTTGTTAGTCGCAAGTGCCAGTTTAACTAAGTCCAGTCATCTCTGAATATATAGTGGCTGTTCTGTTCCTTCCAAATTACATCTATTGTTCCATGGTAGAGCTGGTTGTAGTCCCTTGCTGTGAGGAGTCTGTTGTCTGTTTTGATCTTTAGGCTTGCATCATCTTTTATCTTTTTTATACACACGGTATGGTTCCACATTTTATTGTCGAAGTGAAGAGCGCACCTAGCCTTCCAGATGATTCTCTTAATTAAGGCTATCATCCAATTAAGGCTGTAGTTGTTGTAGTCGGTTCTAGGGAAATCTGAATGGTACTTAATGTTTTTCCAGTTTATATTAGTTTTAAATATGTTGTTAAACCAAGTCCATATACGGTAGGCAGTGCGACATTCATAGAAGAGGTGATATGTGCTTTCGTCTCTGGTACAACGTGGGCATTTTGCATTTCTAACAAGGTGATACCTGTGCAAATATTCTTTGGTCATCGTGATGTTATTTATTATGCGCCAAGTGGTTTCCCTCCACTCCGGTGGGAGCCTGCTCACGTTATTCCAACATTCTTTCCAATTAACAGAGTTATCATCAAGATTGTGATTATGATGTTGAGGATGGTTAATTCTGTAGATATTGCTGGGTTTTATCCTTTCAGTGACTGTGTTGGTAGCAATTATGCTTTTTAGGGTAGTCCTCCATTGACTATACTGGCCCGTGTTATCGATTAGGAAAGGTCTATTCGTTAGTTCATTTGTTAGCTGTTTTGTGATTGGGCCAATAATGTAAATCGCTAGATCTCCTAGAGGATGTTGCTTTTTTTGAATGGCGTTAATCAGATTAGATAGTTGTAGTGCTTGTTCTAGTATTTTAATATCCCATATCCGCCACCCTCCCTGATTTGTATCATTCTTCATTATATCTCTTTTTAGGGGTTCAAAGTCTTTACTCCATATGTACCTGAAGATTAGCTTTTCAATTGTCTTAATATCCTTTTTTTCCAGATTGGTGGTATACAAAGTGTACATTATTTTAGCAAATAGCACTTTGTTTGCTATAATAGTACGTTCTGGCAGATAAAGCCAGATTTTCTCCCATTTTTCAATAGCCTTTTCAATTTTTGTTTTCATCTCCTTCATGTTTTTTGTATTTTTGTCATTCCCATACCATATTCCAAGTATTTTTTTATTGTTAGTTATTTTGAACGTTAGACTTTCCAAGTTTTTATGACCATAAATTTTAATAATATTGCTCTTGTTTTTATTAATTTTCATACCTGTAGTTTCACAGAAGATGTTGAGTGATTGGATAATTCTATTTAGAGATAAATTGTCATTTATAAAAAAGTTAATATCATCTGCATGTGCTGCATATTTAATTTTCTTATATACACCTGGAATATAGATAGGAGTGATCAGATTGTCATTTTTGATTAGGTTCAGTAGACTTTCTATGTATATCGTGAAGAGTAACATGGAGCTTGGGCAGCCCTGCCTTACTCCAGCTTCACAAGTGATATATGCTGACTCTTTTCCGTTAATGACTATCTTTGTCTTTGGGTGGCGGTAAAGGTATTTTATTGTGTCGATTTCTTCTTCATTTAGGCCTAGGGAGTCTAGCGTGCGCCATAACACCTCCCTATTTACCGTGTCAAACGCTTTTTCCACGTCTATAGTTAGGATGGAGAGGGGCGTCTTTCTTTTTGTATAGGTATCTTGTACTAGGTTGATGAGCATCGTGTTGTCTTGAATAGTTCTATCTTTTATCCCAGCTGTTTGTGTTGGACCAATATGGTCGCGTAAAACTTTCTCTAATCTGGTTGCAATGATTATACTGTAAATCTTATACTCGGTGTTCAGTATGGTTATGGGTCTGTAGTCACCCACCTTTCCTATGGTGTTGCCCTTCTTGTTGATTAGGTTCATCTTACCTAGACTAAAATCAGGGTTGTTGGTTTTGTTGTTATATAAACTGTGAAGAATTTCCGCCATATCCTCTTTGAAAAATTTGTAGATTTCCGCTGGGAGACCGTCGATCCCTGCAGCCTTTCTGGTGTGTAGCTCTTCTATTGCTTTTTTAATATCTTCCTTTGTGATATTCTTATTAATTATATTTTCATTTTTGTTCTTTATTGGTTTAATTTGATTATATATATAGTCCCATTGATCCCAATTTGTGTTGGGTCTTTGGTAGAGAATGTTGTAGAAGATTTGAAATTCTTTTATGATTTTTTCTTCATCGTCTATTTCCGTGTCATTTATTATTAAGCTATTTATTGTTGCTGACTCCTCAGGTTTAGGTTTCTTTTTAAAAAGTATTTTCTCAGCAAAGCGCTCTATCCCCAACCTGCTCATCTTGTGGTTCATATAGTTTTCTTTAATCCTATCTTCCATTTCTCTACTTATTTTTTGTTCTATCTGTTGAGCCTCGTCTTTGTCGTTCTTAATAATTTTTTCACTGAGCTGTCTTTGTAGGTTCTTTATCTTGTTAAAGTTGTTCTTTTTTATCCTTAACCAAGTATTATTAGTTATTTCTATAATTTTGCTTTTAGTTAATTTCCAGTTCTGCCATGTAATATTGGTTTTTATTTCATCAAGGGTCTTTTTTATTTCTTGCTGATAGTTTTTATCTGAGAGGATGGAAACAAAAAAAAAACCCTGTGTTTCCGCAAGTACTGAAACCGGCATTATGCGCACGCGCCATTCGTCTTCGCGTAGCGCAGCGCGCGCGACGGTCGCGTCGCCCATGGATAAGAAAAGAGAATAGCACCAAATATTTTAGTTCTTTTAATGGTTTCATTACACTCATTTAAGCATTTAATTAGTTATTTCAACATTGAGCAAAGCTTAAATATTGAAGAATTTGTATAAATTATATTTGACAGGTATATATGTGTGGCCCAAAAGTTAATTAACCGAGATATACTTCTATATTGTGATAATAATTACTGACTTTTGGGGCATCCCGTATATCAGATGTACAGTAGGTTTAAATCTTACCATATTATATGTTATATTAAACAGATATGATCTATAGCCTTGTTTATGAAGGACTTAAAAGTTATTAATTAACATCCCACGGGAGGATGCTGCTGAGGCTGAGGATGTTTTGAATTGAAATAACGTAACTTCCGGTTTGCACCGGAAGTTTATATATAGTTAATCGGGGCCTCCTGCCCATAAGATTTCCATATCTTGTCTCGGATTTCCTCTATCTAACTCCGTTCTCGAGATTAATGAGAGACAGACTGACGGACGATGGTGGGAATTTATAGGTCTACAATTTTTTCAAATTGCAGCCTACTTTTTCGTTTATAATTTGTAGACTCAACCCCACGAGAGGGCAAATGTTCCTTTGTCCTGCGGAATCCCATGCCTATACGCCCTACAGTGTAGGGCCTACATAAATTTCTATTTTATCACTTAATAATTTTATATTTTGTACTATAAAATAAACTAAAATGAAGCTTTAATGGGAAAACGTGTATAATACATCCTATCTAAATTTACTAGCCTAATTCTATCTAGTAAAACTTGATTATCTTATATTTTGTACTATAAAATAAAGTAAAATGAAGCTTTAATGGGAAAACGTGTATAATACATCCTATCTAAATTTACTAGCCTAATTCTATCTAGTAAAACTTGATTTCGTTTCTAAAGTATGTCAACAATAAATCAACATAAGTAACTTTTTACTCCGATTTCTACTGTCTCGGTAGGAATTTAAAAAAAAAAAAAAAACACAGTTTTACGTCAATTTGACGTCATTTTTTAGATTTAATCGTTATAAAACTATACATATGACGTCAAATTGACGTAAAAACCTGTTCTATATCGACCAAACAAACTTTACATAAATTTTAAAGGCGAAAAATTATAAACTATAAAATTAATTAATCTTTTTATTTTATCGTTATTTTTATTCTTAAGTATTATATTATTTACGTAATTTTCAGTTTTGGTACTGTAATAGCCAATTTAAAAATTAACGCTAGATGGCGTTAACGACAAGACGTCTTTTTTTTATAGCATTCGCATTTAAGTAATTACTGTATATAAAAATCCGAAAAAAAAGGAAAAAATAATTAAATTTATTATCCAATAATTTACAAGTAAAGCGAAACAGTTAAATATAATTAAAGTCGTTATCATTAAAATTAAATATTTACTTAAAAGTTTCCTTTAAGTAAATATTGTTAAACAAAACGATTAGATAAAAAAAATTTATATTAGAATTTTTTAAAAAAGTCTCAATTTTTAATGAATAATTTTTAAAATAAAATCATTTTAATAATTAAAATTTGTTAAGTAAAAATGATTTTTTTTGTTTACATGTTTAAAACCGGAGTTTTGTAATCCGAATAATAGATATAAAACTTTAATACTTTATTTAAATTTTAAGCGTATTTAGTTTTTATAATATGGAAAATTTCCGCTTCCTTTTCAATTGAATTTAAACAGGCTTTTATAGCTTTTTTTTCAATTCTCTGCCATGCCAGCTGAATAAATTATTATAAGAATTCGATTGGAAAACATCAAGGTTAAAGCGAATATTTTTATAGATTCGCTTAATAATGGACAATAAAATACACGCATGAATAATTTCGTTTATTTATATAAACAAGGATATTTTCGTAAATTGATCAGATGACGTAATTTAAACAACGTAGTGACGTAGTTTAATTTTATAAATCATTACCTTTACATTTAATTCATAAAAAGTTTTTTTGTAATTAATTACGAAGCAGAGTAAATAGCACGTAAAAGTAAATTAATTAATTAGATAAAAATTAACGGGAGGAAAGTTTTGTTTAAATTATCTTCCATTAGTTAAAATAATCCGTCGATAATTAAACGAAAGAGGGCGCTGTTAGAGAGAGTAAGAGAGACGTTGCTTCACCGTTAGGCACGATTTATTTTTGTAAGGTGGAAAGAATGATGCGTACGAAAATACTCGCACGTCCCGTCGGTATAAGAGATTGTTACGACGTTAAGCTGGATATGACCTATGCGGATGTCATAAAAACCATGCAGTTTGGAAATAAGCCACGGAACAAGGCGAGTCACTGAGCCAAACAATGGAAGAACGTCACACAGCTGATATGGCGTTGAAACCGATGGTTAAACGTAATGGTTTACCATCGGGATCGGGCACGTTTCGGGGCACTTTTCGTGTTGTTTACATAGGTTCTGCCATGCTAGATAAGCGGCATACTTTTGCCATGCTGCCTTGGATCGTAGCCGAAATCGTAAGAAGAAATAGCAGAAAGAAACAGGATGTCCTCCTCACCCTTACCGATTCCTCTTTAAATGCAGTCAGTATGGAAACTGGATGTTGTGTATTCGAGCATAAACTGTATACAATGTCGAAATTCGCCCAAACTAGTCACGACCTTCACTGTTTTACTTACATAACCAGAGCTTCACCCGAAAGTCTTTCCATTTGTCATGTATTCCGTTCGTCAATCGAAGAAACGGTAAGAATTTAAATATTTTAAATGTCAATTACAGATTGTTTTAAATTACTGAAACGATTTCGGGTGTAGAAAAATAGATTTCGTGCATTTATAGATACGCTTTTAGATATTAATGATGTTTTTCTGCCGCCTCCGCTGCTGCTTCTGCCCCTGATCGATGCATTCTTGCACTACAGTTATATATTGCGTGGTTGTGTCATTTCTAGGCGCAGTTTCAACATCTGGAGGGTTTACATAAGTTTGTATTTATAAAAGTTCGCAGTGGAGGCTAATTCTATAGGAAAAATGATATATTGGTGCCTCCTAATTTATATATTTTCATGGGGGCCAATTCTATAAGAAAAGTGTTATATTGGGGGACTTAATTTACATATTTTCATGGGAGCTAAATTCCTAGGAAAAGCGTAATATTGGGGTAGTTTAATTTACGTAATTTTATGGGGGTTAGATTTATTAGAAACTAATTATTTTAGTGGTCAAAGGTCAAACTATTAAAAATCTCACAAAATTAGTGTTTGTTTAAACTAATTTACATAACTATTATTAAATTTTAATGTGTTTGTTTTTATAATTTGCTTAATTGCTTAAGTAATGCAATATTAAAATAAACCCTATAACAAAATCCAGGATAATATTTTTAATATTATTAGTTTATTGATTATTGCATGCTGAACGTTTCTTATTATTAACCCGTGTATATTAAGTAAGAGAAAAGAAAAAAAAAAAACTAAAATGTCGTTAATATGAATACAAAAATATTCAGAAATGTGTTATTAAATTTCGCAAATTTTTGAAAAAAAAAAAAAATAATAATAATAATACTAAATTACTTTATCGTATGAATCTTTAAGTTTTAAATGAATTAAATTCAAAATTAACGCTGTAATTTCATTTAAAAAATTGCGAGAGTAATGATATTTAAAGAAAATTCTTAGCGAAAATTAACCTTTCAAGTGTTGTAATGTACGCTCCAATGCTTTATTAATGAGATTTTAGCAAAAGACAATGTTATGAAATGAAGAGTAAAATATATATTATTACTTTAAAATTAACTTTTTTTATTTTATCTTATTACATTATTAAAAATGTAATGAATTTAAACGAATTCGTTTAATTAATTAATTAATTACAAACCCACGTGTTCGAAATAATATATTAATTTCGGCCATTTTCTCCGTGTTTGACGTAGTCTTATAATTGTATATCTATTATATCGGTGAGAAATTATTAATAAGCTTATTATTCGTTTCCTTTTATATGTTCCAAGAAAAAAGGGGGTAACAAATTGCTTATAATGCATTGTGACGTCAATTTATGACTAACGCAGTACACAACCGTCTGCTGTAGGAATAATTTTATGACGTAATTCATTCGTCCAATGATCTTTTGATATTTAAAATTTCAAATATGAAAAGATCATTGGACGAATTGAATTTCAAATTTTTTTAAATATCAAAAGATCATTGGGCAAATCGAATTACGTCATAATATACTTGAAAATTATTAAATATCATATAATTTTTGTAAGTTAAATTACGTTTTATCGTTAATTATTCCAAATAATTAAATATAAACTTAGAAAAAAAAACACGAGGTTATACGGAATTATTAAATAAAAATTAAAATATTTTTCAACCTTATTTAGAAGACATTTTAAACGATTTTTGTATTTAATATTTTAAAATTTTAAAAAAGTTTTAATGTTTTATTATTTCGCTTTGTTACCTAGCACGTACTTCTAAAATGATTTATCGTTGCATTACGGGCAACGATCCAATCGTAGTAGTCAGGTGTTCCATATGTTCTTTACCTGTCCTGCTATTACTATTTTAGTGGCAAGGGCACTGAAAGCCACGTGCATTGCACGTGACGCCAGTCGATTTGCCAATTTAGTCATCAAGTTTACATAGAAATCTCTTTATCTTTTCACATTCGCCGGTTGTATTAATGATTTTTATTCGTTGAAAAACATTATACTACTTGGATTAAATTCGTCTGTAATTGATTTTTTTTTCTTTTTGTGGTGGTACCTCTGTTTTCTTAATAGATTTTTCTGTTGTATAAGTGTGTTGGGTGTAGAAAAATCGATCTTTCGTCCCTGATATTTCCGTTTTTGTACCTTTTTTTTTTCGTTCTTTGTCAGATGTTTCTATTCTCATATTTTTGAAGTTCCACTTTTTTTCCCAAGATGTCCAAAGAACTGACGTTCTCATTTTTCTCCTTTTTCAATCGATACAGCTATTCTACTTTGCTTCAACCATTTACATATGCCCTGTTTCATTTTCCATCGCAATTTATCAATTTATAAAGCAGATCTTACTTGTTTATCATCGTTTACTGTATATATAAATGTAAAATCTAGCATCATTTATTATAATTTTCAAAAGTTTCTTTAAAAATTTCAATTACCTGTGGCTATGGACATCCACAGAAAATTTTTTAGGGGGGAACAAAGCTTGGAGACAAATGATTACATGCATTTTTATTTAATTATTTCATTTTGTGTGGGTTTTTTCTGCAAGTAGGACTATATTATAAAATACAGTATTGCGTGTCTATTATAAAATACAGTATCAAAGTGTCCCGTAAGGGAGAGTGTAAGGTTACGTATCTCGGTAGCTTTTACAATTATAATTTGTGGAATTTTTCAGGGGAAAGTGCATCATTGCACCTCTTAGAAGATGCTTATACAAAATTTAAAAGTGGAAGTAACCAAGTTAAACTTTGTTCCTTCTCATTTTCTACTTAGAGTTATTAATAATAAAATATTCCCTCTTCCTCTAATGCTATTAAATTATGAATATTTTATTTCTTAAAATATTCAGTATTGAATCTTCTGTGTTGTTAAAATAGTATTATAAATTATAAAAATGATTTCGCATTTTAATATAACTGATAATGCTTGTTTATTTTTTAGCTTTATCCGGATATTGATTTATTAACTCAATAAACATATCCTAGTTACCGACCTTACAAACACTTTAAATGAATTAAGAATGGATTACATGTTATATTAACTTTTGTTATTTTAAACTTTTAATATTTTATAATTAAAAATATTTATTTTCTTTAAATCTATTTAAGATTATTTGAAAACAAAAATAAAATCTCATTTGCCAGTTATCTTTGGAATGACCCGAATTTCTGAAACTTGAATAAAAATAGTTATAAATCATGTATTCGGCCAGTTATTGCTTTTTCTAATATATTATAAATGCCGCGCACATCATGTTGTTGAGTTTTCCAGCTAAGAAGCATGTACAATTTTTCAATCAATACATGTAAAATAGTAAAATTATTGTTGTTTCGGCGTGTTTTCTCTTTGTTTACTCTTTGACTTTCGTTTACCAAAAGCTAAATTATAATATTATAATGAAAATTTATTAAAAAATGTTAAATTTAAATAAAATCTTTTAGGAAAATGAATATGAGTATATAAAATATGATATTGATTGATTGATTACTGCATTATGTTTTTACAAATAATGCAATTATCAATTGACTAACATCTAAAACTGTTGAATAATTTATTAATATAGATAAATAATGTATTATATCTTCTATAATATATTAGAAAATATAAGAAAAAAAATAATATAAAATAAAGTAAAATGTTTTAATGCATGTAGTTTTTGTAAATTATAATTACAAGGAAAGAAATTGATTCTGAATAGGAAAATTACTCTTTCTCTTAATATATCCATTATAAAAATTACACATCGAAATGTAATTTTGACTTTTACTTCATATTATGTTTTTATTAATAACAATGCTATGAATATTTTAAACAAAAATATTCTTAAAGTTTATAGTTTACCAGTTTAAAAGATTTAACTTATTTATTCTGGTTAGTGTTTTTGAGATCTCTTGTATCCCATTTCCAGTTCACTTTTTAGAATATCCATAATATTACATTTTATATTAAAAAATGTTCTAAAAAATTATCTGAAGATGGGACTTAGTGGCATATCTAGGATTTTGAGACTGTAAGTGTTGCTCAGACTTGGAGGATACCAAAGCATGTGCCTCTTATCATTGTTTTGGAGATGTTACTCGGTTATGTAACTGTTTACATTATTCTTTTTCTCTAGCTTTTTAAAATTGTTAAGTGGAAGATGGAAAATGGATAATTTCGAATTGATAAGATTGATTATAAATTATACAAATTACAGTATGATTTATACTCTATGTGATTCCAAATGAAGTAATAGAAAAGATATAAAACCATTACATTTTTTATTTCACTAGAAATTATCAAAATTACAATTATTTTGAATTCGTGTACAATTATCTTTAGTCTGGTTCCACATTTTTTGATTTGTTTCCAAGAAATGTTCGGTTTAAATTTTTCTGTTTGTATAAAATTACTTTCTGCTATTGAAGTCATATTGTAAGCATTATTATATTTATCTCTATTTTAAAGTATCAAAACTGATTACTTTGGTATGAAAGGGGTGTTGCAGCATCATAAGCACTCTAGTCAATACATCCCTAATGGAATATAAGTGACTTTTTTAAACTAGNAGAATAACTTGATTCATATAAGTTAATAACTTGTTCTTATAAGTTATATGACTTGCAATTTAATTTATTTTTCCATCAAGTACATAATCTTTTATGTAACAGTAAAGATGTAAACTGTTTTTTTTTTATTTAAATTTTTAAACAACTTTTGCTTATTTTTCTATATAAATGTATAGTAAATTTAATTTTACTATATAGTATATAATCTATGTTACGTCATATTCATTATAACATTGTATTGTGCTAAAGAGATTATAATTTATCCAAACAATCAGCCCTAATTTAAGATGTAAGCCAGTAGTTTGAATATTGTTTCTTTATAAGATTTGAATATTTAATTTATGTTAATTATTATTTTTAAGGTATTTAGACACGCTAAACACGTGGATTAAAATAAACACAATAAACGATTTAATTATAATTCATTATTATACCATATTTATCCAAACAATCAGCCCTAATTTAAGATGTAAGCCAGTAGTTTGAATATTGTTTCTTTATAAGATTTGAATATTTAATGTTTGTTAATTATTATTTTTAAGTTATTTTAAAGTTACTTAAAAAGATAGGAGTTGTTGAGACATGGTCTGTTCGACTAGATGTTGCTTGTCGGAGAGATTACAGTAGTAAAAACTAGTTAGACTCGCGTAACTGGTTATATAACAAAGAAACAAAGAATGCACAAAGATTACACTGTCTTGACTCACAGAAGGTCAGCACTGAAAAGGGGAAAGTGAAATGAGGTCACTGTCTCTAACGGATCCCCAAGGGGTCAACAGCGCCACCAACCTATTATTACGTAACAGAAGAATGTTTAAAAAACATTGCGACACAATGCGTTGTATGTAATGATGTCATATAACATTAGACAATAATTTTGATCGTTGATTCCAACATGGTCCATATGCATTAAGAATCTATTTATTCAATTATAAATTTTACAAAAAGAACTATAGTGACTATGATACATCGTAGAATCTTATTATAACAAACCTCANACATTATTAAAAATGTAATGAATTTAAACGAATTCGTTTAATTAATTAATTAATTACAAACCCACGTGTTCGAAATAATATATTAATTTCGGCCATTTTCTCCGTGTTTGACGTAGTCTTATAATTGTATATCTATTATATCGGTGAGAAATTATTAATAAGCTTATTATTCGTTTCCTTTTATATGTTCCAAGAAAAAAGGGGGTAACAAATTGCTTATAATGCATTGTGACGTCAATTTATGACTAACGCAGTACACAACCGTCTGCTGTAGGAATAATTTTATGACGTAATTCATTCGTCCAATGATCTTTTGATATTTAAAATTTCAAATATGAAAAGATCATTGGACGAATTGAATTTCAAATTTTTTTAAATATCAAAAGATCATTGGGCAAATCGAATTACGTCATAATATACTTGAAAATTATTAAATATCATATAATTTTTGTAAGTTAAATTACGTTTTATCGTTAATTATTCCAAATAATTAAATATAAACTTAGAAAAAAAAACACGAGGTTATACGGAATTATTAAATAAAAATTAAAATATTTTTCAACCTTATTTAGAAGACATTTTAAACGATTTTTGTATTTAATATTTTAAAATTTTAAAAAAGTTTTAATGTTTTATTATTTCGCTTTGTTACCTAGCACGTACTTCTAAAATGATTTATCGTTGCATTACGGGCAACGATCCAATCGTAGTAGTCAGGTGTTCCATATGTTCTTTACCTGTCCTGCTATTACTATTTTAGTGGCAAGGGCACTGAAAGCCACGTGCATTGCACGTGACGCCAGTCGATTTGCCAATTTAGTCATCAAGTTTACATAGAAATCTCTTTATCTTTTCACATTCGCCGGTTGTATTAATGATTTTTATTCGTTGAAAAACATTATACTACTTGGATTAAATTCGTCTGTAATTGATTTTTTTTTCTTTTTGTGGTGGTACCTCTGTTTTCTTAATAGATTTTTCTGTTGTATAAGTGTGTTGGGTGTAGAAAAATCGATCTTTCGTCCCTGATATTTCCGTTTTTGTACCTTTTTTTTTTCGTTCTTTGTCAGATGTTTCTATTCTCATATTTTTGAAGTTCCACTTTTTTTCCCAAGATGTCCAAAGAACTGACGTTCTCATTTTTCTCCTTTTTCAATCGATACAGCTATTCTACTTTGCTTCAACCATTTACATATGCCCTGTTTCATTTTCCATCGCAATTTATCAATTTATAAAGCAGATCTTACTTGTTTATCATCGTTTACTGTATATATAAATGTAAAATCTAGCATCATTTATTATAATTTTCAAAAGTTTCTTTAAAAATTTCAATTACCTGTGGCTATGGACATCCACAGAAAATTTTTTAGGGGGGAACAAAGCTTGGAGACAAATGATTACATGCATTTTTATTTAATTATTTCATTTTGTGTGGGTTTTTTCTGCAAGTAGGACTATATTATAAAATACAGTATTGCGTGTCTATTATAAAATACAGTATCAAAGTGTCCCGTAAGGGAGAGTGTAAGGTTACGTATCTCGGTAGCTTTTACAATTATAATTTGTGGAATTTTTCAGGGGAAAGTGCATCATTGCACCTCTTAGAAGATGCTTATACAAAATTTAAAAGTGGAAGTAACCAAGTTAAACTTTGTTCCTTCTCATTTTCTACTTAGAGTTATTAATAATAAAATATTCCCTCTTCCTCTAATGCTATTAAATTATGAATATTTTATTTCTTAAAATATTCAGTATTGAATCTTCTGTGTTGTTAAAATAGTATTATAAATTATAAAAATGATTTTGCATTTTAATATAACTGATAATGCTTGTTTATTTTTTAGCTTTATCCGGATATTGATTTATTAACTCAATAAACATATCCTAGTTACCGACCTTACAAACACTTTAAATGAATTAAGAATGGATTACATGTTATATTAACTTTTGTTATTTTAAACTTTTAATATTTTATAATTAAAAATATTTATTTTCTTTAAATCTATTTAAGATTATTTGAAAACAAAAATAAAATCTCATTTGCCAGTTATCTTTGGAATGACCCGAATTTCTGAAACTTGAATAAAAATAGTTATAAATCATGTATTCGGCCAGTTATTGCTTTTTCTAATATATTATAAATGCCGCGCACATCATGTTGTTGAGTTTTCCAGCTAAGAAGCATGTACAATTTTTCAATCAATACATGTAAAATAGTAAAATTATTGTTGTTTCGGCGTGTTTTCTCTTTGTTTACTCTTTGACTTTCGTTTACCAAAAGCTAAATTATAATATTATAATGAAAATTTATTAAAAAATGTTAAATTTAAATAAAATCTTTTAGGAAAATGAATATGAGTATATAAAATATGATATTGATTGATTGATTACTGCATTATGTTTTTACAAATAATGCAATTATCAATTGACTAACATCTAAAACTGTTGAATAATTTATTAATATAGATAAATAATGTATTATATCTTCTATAATATATTAGAAAATATAAGAAAAAAAATAATATAAAATAAAGTAAAATGTTTTAATGCATGTAGTTTTTGTAAATTATAATTACAAGGAAAGAAATTGATTCTGAATAGGAAAATTACTCTTTCTCTTAATATATCCATTATAAAAATTACACATCGAAATGTAATTTTGACTTTTACTTCATATTATGTTTTTATTAATAACAATGCTATGAATATTTTAAACAAAAATATTCTTAAAGTTTATAGTTTACCAGTTTAAAAGATTTAACTTATTTATTCTGGTTAGTGTTTTTGAGATCTCTTGTATCCCATTTCCAGTTCACTTTTTAGAATATCCATAATATTACATTTTATATTAAAAAATGTTCTAAAAAATTATCTGAAGATGGGACTTAGTGGCATATCTAGGATTTTGAGACTGTAAGTGTTGCTCAGACTTGGAGGATACCAAAGCATGTGCCTCTTATCATTGTTTTGGAGATGTTACTCGGTTATGTAACTGTTTACATTATTCTTTTTCTCTAGCTTTTTAAAATTGTTAAGTGGAAGATGGAAAATGGATAATTTCGAATTGATAAGATTGATTATAAATTATACAAATTACAGTATGATTTATACTCTATGTGATTCCAAATGAAGTAATAGAAAAGATATAAAACCATTACATTTTTTATTTCACTAGAAATTATCAAAATTACAATTATTTTGAATTCGTGTACAATTATCTTTAGTCTGGTTCCACATTTTTTGATTTGTTTCCAAGAAATGTTCGGTTTAAATTTTTCTGTTTGTATAAAATTACTTTCTGCTATTGAAGTCATATTGTAAGCATTATTATATTTATCTCTATTTTAAAGTATCAAAACTGATTACTTTGGTATGAAAGGGGTGTTGCAGCATCATAAGCACTCTAGTCAATACATCCCTAATGGAATATAAGTGACTTTTTTAAAGTAGAAAGCTGTGAATTTCAACACTTTTTAGAATTTAAGTCAGAGAGTTAACGATGTCAAGATAATATTTAACAGCTACAGTGTTTGATGAGCAATAAAAAATGCACCACTCAGATCTTTTATATATATATACTTGTTACCAAGCAGTTTTTCCATATTTATCATCAGCTACATTTAGTGATAACTTTGTTAGTTGCTGTGTTTATTTTTAAAAAATAGTTTAAATAAACAGTTATTTTAAAAAATATTTAAAATGTGATAGTTGTAACAAATTTTTTTTTTTCTAATTTATTTTTCTTATCTTTTGTGAAAAATAGACTTATTGATTGAAAGTGTTAACTTTTTAACTTACAGAAGATAATTGTATGCAAATAAATAAATGTACTGTGTATCTGAAGATGAAAAATGAAACATACAAGTAAATAATAATAATAATAATTTTCGTGGATAAAGAGATTTTATTCTATTATTATATATAAAAAAAATATGATTGTTTAAAAAACATTTCTCTTTTAAAATCTGGAACGCTTGCATGTTTTTTACAAGAAAATAGGTCACAGAACTCTAGAAAATTTCTTTGCTACGTATTTAAACACTAAACAAACTAGAACTTGACATAGTTGCCAATTCATTGATAGTAAACATAAACAACTGCAGTTATAAAATTAAATATAAATTTATATTTTAACACATTTTGCTGCTTATATAAACGATTGTACAGGAATGCTAAGTAAAAATATTATTGATTAGTGTCAGTATCAAAAATATTTTACATTTTTTGGATATTTTTTTAATGATAATTTTGTAAGACGTAAGCATATATCTGTTTTTAGAATACTATTATTATTATACTGTAATTATAATTAAATATATAATTTAATAAATTTGAAATATATGCCAGGTTTTGGACTTATTTACTTCTGTTAAAGAAATGACTAAGGAAATGGCTCACCATCATCCTAGCAAGCACACACTTACTTATATGGGAAGTAATCCTTCTACAGATGCTGCATCAAGCAAATGGCACCATTACGAAGTGTTATACGTTGGTAAAATTAAGGTAAAGCTGCTATATTGGTAGGAAATATATTTCCGTTAGTTATTCCTTAAGTAATGATCGTTTCTATATATTATTAAGGTATCCCATAAACGTGCCCCTCCGCTGTTTATTGACGAATCTGTCAATAAATTTCGTAACCTAGAAAATGAAAAAAGACAGAAAAAGAGTGAGAAATTGGAACCAAATGAATCTTATGGTAATATGAGTAATGGAGAGAAAAAATCAAGTGAACCAACACTTCAAGAAATAGCAAATATCACATTGGAAAGAAAGAAAAGCCTGCCTGATATTTTTATGAACAAAAGATCTGTAGATAAAATGGAAGAGGTAAAAATAAAAAATAAAAACAACAATTAATAAGAATAATTCATCTTAAATATTTATTTTAAATTTGTTGTTTAAATATTTATATATAATTTAATGTTTATTTTTGTTAGTCATATTTAACTTACAAAATTTAAACTTTACAGCCAAATTGTGTGGTAATACATTTCCTGTTATAGTATTATATGTTTACATTTGAAAAATGAATTACCGTATTTAAAATATACAGACTATTTAGAAATATTTAATGGTCTGTTTAACAAAAAAAAAAAAGTAACTTTGGTAATAATAAATTTTTATCATCGTTAGTGTAAATAGTTTAACAGAAATATTTGCAAACAAATACTTATTTATCTTTCACTGTTTACACTAAATTCATAGTTATAATTTTATCGTTAGATTACTCATTACTATTACCAATATACAGTTAAATGGCTACTTCTGTTTGGAGACAATACTGATATGAATTCATTATAGAATTTTTATAACAATATGAAGGAAAAAATGGTTTCAAGAAAATCCATTACTAAAAGGTAGTTAGAAAAAGTTTCGATCTATCATTTATCAATTGAAAATATTCCAAATGTGATCAAGGTTATGTCAGCTACATGTTTTGCTATTACAGTTCACCAATAAAACTCGGTATTAGTAACGCATTGCTTTATTTGATTGTTTCCATAGAAACTCATTTTTTATGTTTGAAATAATTGCTGAATTTCAAACACAGTAAATTATTTATGCATAAAACTATTCAGGTATAATATTTGGTGTTAGAGGCAAGCTGTTTCAATAATGCTTATTGTTAAGTTAAACTGACTTAAAAGCCAAACAATTGCCGAAGTATACAATGCTATATTACTAATACTGTTATTAATTAAATGCTAAGTAATTTGGCACAAGGTGTTAGGTACCATCTCTTTCTAAGTTTAATGATTTTAATAATTTAGAAGGTTCTGGAAGAAAAGAATTAGCCCAAAGCGGGACTCAAACCCACAATATAGCCTGATGTAATTTGGCAGTCATTTGGCTTTAATATATAACTATTGAATTTGGATGTTTATATTTGTATAAATTGATTTCTTTTAATGTGTTGAATTTGCATTTATTTTCAAATTCAAGGAATTGATAGTAGCTCATTAACTAATAATATAGACTAATATGGATTTACTGAAGTCGGTTCATGTTTTGTTTTATTTGTGTACGGCAATGCAACACATGAGCAATTTGACAAAGGACATGCTTCCTAGAAGGACTTTCTATGGGAAACTGACCTCTATTTAGGTGTTACTAATGTGAAGAAAATCTGGAGTATTCCATGCAGCCATTGACAAGGTATGAACACATGACCAACTACTGATATATGGAGGTTTTATCCACTCGGCCACTGATGGGCACAAGTTCATATTATCAATTTAGAAATAAACATCATTTTTGACATTATTTCATCAGTTCTTCAATATAAAATGGAATTACCAGTGGATAGTTTTTGCAAAACCTGTATTGTTAATAATACTTTTAAATCAAGTAGATATAATAATTAAAGTTTTTGAAACTTTTATGATGATATAATAATTTAGTCTGTTAATGTAAATCTTTCTGCTTTTGATGATAATTCAAAACTAAATAATGTAGAGTCCATTTTGATAAACCATTAGAGAGAGAAAATCAATATTACTAACAAGATTAAATATTATTTTATTAATTTAATTAATTTAAATGAGTGATATTTATAATATTTAATCAGTTAATTAAATTTTCAAGTAATCAATATTTTTAATTAAAAAGTGTTTTCTTCTTTAAAACATTTTCAAAATTTTTCAACATATATATAATATTAAATTGTATAGATGTTAAAAAATAAAAAACAAGTATATTTTTAATTTTATGTTAGTGAAAGCCAAGCTATCACATTCAATACGACAGATATTCATTAGAGAGAACAGTGTGATTTTATATTTTGGTATTTGTTTTAACTCTTCTCTGTTCAACCCACCTTATTCTTTATTAAAAAGTAAATAAATAACTGGAGGATTTGGGAATAAAGATGACTAGAGCATACTGCTTTGTATGTTTGCTGCTCCATATATGTACTAATGCTATCTATAATTATTTTTTTATTTGGAATGTAATATGTTATCAGTTTTATATGGATATACAGAGTGAGTCAACAGTCCCTTGCACCCTTTCTGTTCCAAAATATATTAATTAATTTTATGACATATTGATTTTGTTAATGTAATTACATAGGAAATCATGTATGGAGAATCTGATAGACCCTTTGTTGACCTTGAAAGTGAGTTTTCAAGGTCAATAAAAGGTTCTATCTAATATCTTTGGTACTTTTGGAATGAAAAGGGTGCAAGGGACTGTTGACTCAAGCTGTATGTTAAATTGGTTAATTTATAAGAATTTAATATTGTGTTAATTGAGGTATCATTTTAATGTTGTTCTAAATTTTATTAATACTTAATGTCATTACTTTAAATTTTATTTTTATTATTATTTTAATTTTGATACTTTACTATTAAAAATACATTCTTTTTAGTAGGAAATAACTCCATAGATAACATCATAAGACTAAAATCTAATAAAAATTAAATTATTAAAGTGACTCCTTGTATGTTTATTAGCATTTTGGTCTTGTGAAAAATATATTTTAAACAATTTATATATTTCAAGTTTGTTAATTATTATTTTTAAGTTATTTTAAAGTTACTTAGAAAGATAGGAGTTGTTGAGACATGGTTTGTTCAACTAGATGTTGCTTGTCGGAGAGATTAGTAAAAACTAGTTAAACTCACGTAACTGGTTATATAACAAAGAAACAAAGAATACACAAAGATTACACTGTCTTGACTCACAGAAGGTCAGCACTGAAAAGGGGAGAGTGAAATGAGGTCACTGTCTCTAACGGCTCCCCAAGGGGTCAACAGCGCCACCAACCTTTTATTACATAACAGAAGAATGTTTAAAAAACATCGCAACACAATGCATTGTATGTAATGATGTCATATAACATTAGACAATAATTTTGATCGTTGATTCCAACATGGTCCATATTAAGGATGCACCGATTAATCGGTAAGTAATCGGTAATCGGCCGTATCGGCCACTTAGCCGATTAATCGGTATCGGCCATTTCCACCGATTAATCGGTTTCGATAATCGGCCAATTTTACATTTTGGTATTTTTGTTAGAATGTTACGTACAATGCTAGTAATAAAAACTAATAAATTTCTGTTATATATTTATTATTTATTACATGACAATCTGAATATTAAAAAAATTTTACTAATCAAATTATTCCTTTCATCAATACATATTATAAGTATAACATAACNTATTAACACTAATCGGCCGATTAATCGGTATCAGCCGATAATGCATGGCCAATTAATCGGTAATCGGCCATTTTGCTTATCGGTGCATCCTTAGTCCATATGCATTAAGAATCTATTTATTCAATTATAAATTTTACAAAAAGAACTATAGTGACTATGATACACAGTAGAATCTTATTATAACAAACCTCATAACAACAAATTTTCAGATTTTCTCCAATTCAACCTCTATAGGAACGCAACAAAATCTTTCAGTTGTACAAACATATTTATAATGAACTTTAAGTTTAATGTACCTTTTCTATCAGTCCTGCTGTAATAGAATTTTTACAATTTTCACCTCACTAAAACAACCTTCTTCAACTTACCCTCTTTACTATTGTCGTCCAACTGGTAACAAACTATACCCAAGAGAAAAGAGCAAGCTTGGAAGCAACTACAGTAAAAACTCGTTATTTTGAAACTCAAGGGGCCAAAAAAAAGAATTAAAAATAACCGGAGTTCAAATAACCAAAACTTTTTTTTTCAAATTGACGTTTTTTGTAATTCTTGAATAAAATGATAGCATTATCTTATGTAATTTCACCCATTTATTTACAAATGCTTTAATATTATGAGTTATTTTTTAGTAATTTAAGCTATTTCGAAAAACTATTGGTTGGCGTGTAATTAATGAAAACAATGAAAACGTAACCAAATTACATTCAAAGTAAGACCTGAAATTAACGTAAAATAAGCTTAAGTGCTTCAATAAGAATTACCGCAAATTTTGGCTTGAGTTTGAGATTACAAAAATCGTCTGATCTGATGAAAACAAGCTCTACTCTATTAAAGGCTAAAACTATAAGTACACATTCTATCATGAATATGCATGTGTATTTGGTGTTTGGAATTATTGAAACAATAGATTTTTGCAAGAAATGTCCAAAATAATTAAATGCCAAACAGATCTCTTCCATAATAATACACTAAAATTTTTAAATCAAAGATATAAAGTGTAAATCTCTATATCCCTGACCAGGACAAATACTACAGTTACAAACTAACGGGATTTCCCACCATCTGAGTTTGAATTAACGAGGTTTTCTGTATAACGTGTATGTATGTATACATAAAACAGAAATGTTATGCTAACTACAGAAGCACATTTAATAAATTAATTATCATTATTTATAGTTAAACTTATAAATTGGTCTAATATGTAGTTGTGTGAAATATATCACATACAAATAGAAATGTTTCTTGTTGTATTTCTGGTAAATTATTTGTACTGTTCATTTATTTATCATAAAAATGTATACTTAAATATGTTTTCAAATTTTATGGAATAACAATCTGTTTAGTCATCAGACAGAATATAGATGTATTGAAAAAAAAATGGCCAAACTCAAGATCTTTTATTAAAATATTTTAAAATACTTTAATAATATGATATAATAAATGAACACATTCATTAATTGCACTGTAATCTTCTCATTTCCTATGGAAATGTTATAGAACTGATAAATAATTAGAATAACAAATATGTATATTTATACACAGTAAATATTAGCAGAAGAATAAATTCATTAACAAATTATATTTATTTTTCTAAACATTACTCATTAATGTAAGCAGAATCATTAATTAGAAAATTTCATAATTAAAATTGTAAACTTGTT